TTATGCCTAATTTGGAAATTCTTGCTCAGGTGCAGTCCAGTTTCAAATTTCAGATTTTACCTAACAGAAACCCTGTTAAAACAAAGTCACCATTCTGAAAGATGTATTTATAATTGATGCTTGTATCAGGAGTCACTGAATGTCGGTCTACTCAGCTTCATTGCCGACTAGCTTAGTGGTTCAGGTGTTCGACACACTCACAAATGGGTTTGATTCCATGTATGGTTGCAGTGTGCCAGGGATCTATATTTCAGGGATTGCTGCTATAATGCAACTGAGGAATCTTCCGATAGGTCTGGGTCCAGATGTACTGGTATGTTGGTATGAGAGTTAATACTCTTAATCGATTCTGGTCAAACATATTGTGATAGTGTACAGAATTTATGAGACATTGATAGTGTAAAATAAAACCTTCAGACTTATTTTGTGTGATGTTTTGTGTATAAATACTGCCAATCAGGGCCTGGAACAGATATATTAGATTTCATGTCCTCCCTATGAAGGAGGTGAGGTAAGGTGAAATTGGGTTTAACGTCGTGCTTGAGAATATTTCGCTCATATGACGACGTGCATGCGTGTGTATGCGCGGCTGCTTGTACTAGCCCAGACTGAAGCTGGTTTTATAGTGCTAGGCCACTGAGATACCATGCTGCAGTGAAGCATGAATACCCCACTCAGACACATTATACTGACTCCGAGCCGACCAGTCCTTGTTGTACCCATTAATGCCGAGCGCCAGGCAGGGACCAACAAGTACCATATTTTAACGTCTTTTGGTATGATGTGGTCGGGGATCGACCCCGCGACCTTCCGCTCTCTGGGCGGACGCTCTAACCACTACACCACGGAGGCGGTCCCCTATGAAGGAGGGGTGGTGGGAAAAACCTAGTGGTTACAGTGTTCTCTTATCACACAGAAGGCCATGGTTCGATTCCCTACATGGACAAAATGGACAAAGCCCAATTCTGGTGTCCGCTTGCGTGATATAGCTGGAATATTGCTAAAAGCTGCGTAAAACCCAACTCACTCACCTATGAAGGAAAAGACTGCTCGAGTATACTGACACAACAGAGAGACTATTCTTTTTTTCACCATAGTTTAAGGTTGAGTGTTTATGCTATCAGCCATTAGTTTGAACAGGTGTTCATCAGCGCTTGATTGCCAGTTCTTACACAGGCACTACCAATGCAGTTACTAATTGTTTGGTTGAGAATGAATCACTTGATTGCAGGGTATGAAACTCCCAAAAATTTCAGCCAGGGCTGGTTAGATGTAAAACTTGCAAGCCCTAACCAAAACTTACCTGCCCGCAAATAATTTAGGTTTGACAAACGACGTAGTTTATCATCCAATTGGAATTCATCATTTATTTTTACGTGTGAATTAATAATGATTTAAATCATTTTCCAGAAATATGATGAACTTGATATCTTCATATACATGTCTAAATTTTAACCCGACCGTCCAGCTGGTGAATTTGAGAATCTGGCAGTCAGTGTTGAAAATAACCCGTGCGGACGGTCGGACAGGCAGGTATTTCGAAAGCTGATGATTGTCAGGTCCAGATTTCATTGTTTACAGGCTGACATATTGCCTTAAATAGCATAGAAACAAACCACACGAACATCACATGGGACATTGTTCATAATATCAATTACTAAGTTATCTGACACAAATTATTTTGATTTGAATTTTCGGATAAGTCTTTTTTCTTTTACGATGTTTACTAATTTGTAATTTGTTATTATTTGTTATTATTTACCTAGTAAGGCCACATAAAATAATAAATATCTTGTTTCTCATCACTTCTTCTTCTTTTTTAAATGGTTAGGTAGGGCGGATTTTATTTTTTAATATTTTTTTTCTGATTTTCTATACAATGTTAGTCGAAAGTTTGGAATGCCGGAAGCATTCGTGACCAACTCGTGTTATTCCGGGACAAGCTTGGAGGTTACGGAAAGAGGCGAGTGGTGCCGAATGTGCCGGAAGCTGAGACGTATTTCGGAAGTCTGTCGGCTTTATACGCACAAATTTACCAGTGCAAAAAATACACAAAAAATTGGGTCGGCGGTAATGAGATAAAAGAAATTTTGTGGCCTAACTAAATGTTATTTTACGTTATAGGTGCCATTTTGGAAAAGACCAAGTAACTGGTGTTTCACAAACTGTGAAGACTCCTTTCTTTCGGAAACAAATACATCTTATTTTCTCTTTTCCTTCGACTGATCCCAAGGCCCCGAAAACCTACAATGCAGGAAACGAAACCCGAGCTATATTTACGAAGGAATTAATATAACTTGCTTTGAAAAATCCGCTTCTGTGTTGATAACAAATGACGCGACGCGATATGTTATCGGGAGTTAACGGGTTTATCGTTAACTATAATTCTCTGGGGAATAAACAAACACGTCGTTTAACCTCAACGATAACAGTGTTCTCAGAGACTGCCCTCCGCCCTGTAGATTCAAGGTTCTCTTACATTTATAACATGATTAGATTTAGAATGATAAATAAGTCATTGCTTTTGATATTTTTATCCTCCTATCTCCAGCTCATGAAAGCTGCAGTCCAGTGAATGAATGAAAAACGCTGTCACTTTATATTCTAAATTTATTAAAGTAATCTGTTAAAAAGTGAGTTAATAACACTCAAATAGGATATGCCATGTTGTGATTGTTGTTTGACGCCGCGCACCAGAATCAAGCCATGATACTGCGCCAGTGGACCAGACAATCCAATGGTCATCGATCTACACAGTTGGGTACGATAACATGTGTCAACCAGGTCAGCGAGCCTGACCACCCGATCATGCTAGTCGCCTCTGGATCAGACAATCCAGTGACTGACGTCAAATGCATCAATTTAGGCAACTTGGATACTATGTCACGTGTCAACCAAGTCAGCGAGCCTAACCACCCGATCCCGTTAGTCGCCTCTTACGACAAGCAGTCCAGTGATCAACATCATGAACATAGATCTGCTCAGCGCCTTGAGCATGCACTAGTGCGTGGATATGCGCGCTATATAAATATCTTAGAATAATGATTATAATAATCTACGCAAACGGGATACGATGACTGTCAATCGGATGAGCGTGACCACCTGATCCTATAGTCGCCTCTTACGACAAGCATGGGTTGCTGGAGATCAATTCTAACCCGGATCTTCACGTTGTCCGAGTTACTACACATGCAGTATGAAGGTTTCCAGAGATTCCCGAACACCAAAATCTAAAAAACCAATATAAAACGCTAATACAAAGGAATGTCCAGTTTTAACTATCCTCAGAAACAGCAATTGGCCTAAAGGGTAAAATACTGTGTAAATAATAAGAATGGACTGCTACCATGTGTTTGTGAAAACGGTAAACATGTCCTCCGATACTGATACCACTTGCCATTCACACAATCTATCATAAAAAGTGTGTATTTGCAGTCCGACGAGTAAACAAACCAGACAATCAGGTGATCGATGGGCCAGAGAATCCAGCTGAGTTTGAATTACGACTACATCGCAGAAGTGCAGAGATTCCTCCAGTTACACGTAAAGAAATACGTTTTGGAAACAGTGTTTGTCCTTAACCCTGAAAAGCTGCAGGCCCTAAGGACCCAGGGCCCCGTTACACAAAGCTCTCGTAAGCCTAAGATCTCGTAACTTTTCTCGTAGCATTCGTACCTCCTATACTGTAACATAGGAAGTTACGAGATCTTACGCTTTCGATACCTTTGTGAAACGGGGGCGGTGGGGTAGCGTAGTGGTTAAAGCGTTCGTTCGTCACGCCGAAGACCCGGGTTCGATTCCCCACATGGGTACAATATGTGAAGCCCATTTCTGGTGTCTCCCGCCGTGATATAGCGGGAATATTGCTAAAAGCGGCGTAAAACTAAACTCACTCACTCACTCACTCACTCACTCACTCACTCACTCACTTTGTGAAACGGGGCCCAGAACCATAAAAAGTTGTGGGTCCTGATCAGAATGTGTAGGCCCTGTATTTTAATATGGAAATAATACTCTTAGTTATTCGGGATGAAAGAGCTGTCGACCATAACGACCTGCAGAAAACAAAAACTGTGGGTCCAAGTGGTTTTCAGTCGGCTTCAGGCCTAAGGACCGACGTTAATTTCGAACGCTGTTTGAAACAGTTTGTTTGGGTTCTGGGACCCAACGTTTCTTTTGTGGTTGACTCAGCATGCTTGTGAGATTCGACCAAGCTCATTGTACTATACATGTAGTTGTACTTAGGCCGGGATAGGTGTTCATACTGTCAACCACTGTTTTTCCCGTCAACACACATTTCTATGCAGTGCTAAGTGATGGCTGTTTTAATCCTTTAAGCATTAAGTATATATATTATGCCTAGTGTAAACCGGTTTCTGGACTGCCAGTTTTCATTAAATTTACCAAGGGGATTTTATGATAGAATTCTGTAATAAAAAAGCATCAATATGTTTAATGATGAAATGTTGTACAGGTCAGTATAAAGTTGACTCGTTTTCAAAATTATAATTGCCACATTTAAAACAAAATCGGGAATCAAAATCATTCCTATTTCAATCATCAAGTTTTGACACCCGCTTCGCAATATCGATAGAGCTTGTCTAATAAATATCTGATTTCCACAGGAAAGATACGCCATTTGTTTAAGATTAGTAAGTCACACAATCTAGAATTTAGAGATTAGTTTCATTTGTTTGTTGCCTAACGCCGCGTTCAGCCATATTCCAACTACATTGAAGCTGTAATTCATTGAATCTGGACTAGACAATCAAGTGATTGACATCATGAGCATGATGACAACCAAAGACCGGAGATCAGTTCTGTGAATTTTGTTTTCTTCTTCAGTATGCTAGTGTTGTCTATTAACGTCTTCTAATCGTTCTTTAACCAGGAAAGAAAATCCCCATGCCTCGGACAGATAAGATTCAAAATGCAATGGTTGAATGATTAAAATTATCCAACGTGGGAATACAAGCACCTGCAATGCTTATCAACTAGCCCTCGGTGAATCACAAACTGCCGTTGTACTCCAGGACAAATGGAGGGTTATGTTGCTGCAAGGTTGGATCTATTACCCTGAGGACCTCCTGTATACGATACAAGTGTTTATAGAAGGTAGGAGGGCTGTTGTTGCTGTAGATTGAGGCTGTGTGTGGTGTAACGTGGCTTTGTCTGTTATCTGGATATGCCAAAACAAGACACATCTCAGGTTTCTGACGAAAGGATATGTGTCGTGTTATAATCACGATCATCTTTTTAAGAGGAGGGACGTTAGGGGCCGTTCATAATTTATGGCAAGGGGTTGGGGGGTGATGATGATATTATGGAGAAGCATGTACAATGTGAATGACCCCCCTTAAAATTTATGTACAAAGTAGGTGAACCCTCTGCATGTCATGTACAAAATCAATGCCCCCCCCCCCTTCCCATAATTTCTAAGCATAATTGTAAACATAATTTTATGTACAAATTTGGGGGCTGACCCCCCGCCCACCCCACACACACACCTTAGTACGTGTGTACAAAATGCTGAACGCTCCTAGCTCTCCAGAACAAAATAGGTGACACCCCTAAAAATCATCATCACGGTGTGTAAATAATCATAATAATAAACCAGACAATCCAGTGATAAGCATCATGAGCATGGACCTTCGCTGACGTGTCAACCAAGTCAGGAAGCCTGACCTCCCCATCCCGTTTGTCGCCTCTTACGAAAAGCATGGGTTGCTGAAGACCAATTCGAACCCGGAACTTCACTGGTCTAATGTTTGTGACTTGTTGCGGAAACACAACCCACCCAAAGCTCCAAATGTACACTTTCTTCTGTATGTCAGTATAATTTGCACTCGGTGTTCAATGTGATTTTAAACACAACGATATACTTTCTTCACATTCAGATCCACATCCAGAATATAGAGTATAATATATTTACTTGTTACACTCCCCTCCCACCTTGCCACAAAATTTACTACCCGTGAAGACCAGGGTCTGCAGCAACCCATGCTTGTCGTAAAAGGCGTCCAATGGGATCGGGTGGTCAGGCTCGCTGACTTGGTTGACGCACGTCATCGTATCCCAAGTGCGTAGATCGATGCTCATGATGTTGATCACTGGATTGTCTGGTCCAGACTGGATTATTTACAGACCGCCGTCATATAGCTGGGATACTGCTGAGTGCGGCGTTAAACAACATGCACACAAACCAACAAAATGCACTCAGGCCTAACATAATTTTTGTCTCAAAGTAGCAGTAGATGACGAAAACGACAATGTGTGTTTCCCATTTTCATCACTTGATGCAATGGAAAAATATTTAGTCCTACCAAACATTCACGTGTAACGTTGACCATCCCCAAAGGCAAGGCAGTTAACGTACTGAATGACTCGTGATTCACTCAACCCAGCCCTCACCTTGTGTTAAGGTTTGCGAGAACTTCCAGAGATGTTGAATAAACGTTTTTTCCGTGTTTTCATCAGAAATGCTGTTTAAACGAAATGTTTATGTCGTCCATATCTCGACACGACATGTATCATTCTGGCCATTCGTGACAATATCTGTTGCAGATCAAATATTTTTAATGTGAGAGATGGCTGTAAATATCTATTTCTTCTAATCTTTCTATTACATAAATATACATTCATCTTATTTCTGTACACCTTATCAAAAATAAATGACAATAAATTTTAACGTTCATCTTATCAACCGCCATGTTGTCCCGCCAATGACGTCACGCTAGAGCGTCAGATGAACTCATACAACATTCCTCGTTATTACAGGCCGCACGGACAACACGATAAAACCCATAAAACAGTAACAATGTTTATCTTTATGTTAAATGTTTGCTATGATGGTAATCCAGTAGCAAAGGTTTTGACCTTGACCTTCCAGGGTTGAACGCTTCCCTGTCCAATGGCGGCGTCGGGCACTGACGTCTCGTGTCGGCATACCATCAGTCTGCTAGACTTCACGCACTTCGCTGTAGGTCCCGCGGTAAGTGGAGAGGGTATCAACAACCACTACGGGGTGATTGGAGATAGGTCACATCAGCTTATGGTTTCGGAGGTCTTTGTGCGTCTAATGTTTTCAGATCGCGTCAGGAGTGGCTGGGTGAGGTACCGACTGTTTGCTTGCATTCTCTGTGTGAGGAGGGGCTCAGGGGATGGGAAGTGTTACGTGTTCGTAGTTTCAAGGCACGCACTTTTTTTCGAGGGTACGGGGACTAGACTAACGCTCAGTCTCTGAATATATATGTATGTAATATTGATAGTAACAAATGAACCCATTTTTACTTGAAAAGGAGCCAAAGTGAGATGGGAAATTCAGACCTGAAGAAATATAGACTTGCCTCATTTAGCATTGCAGGGAGGGCAAGGCAGAAGGGAAAATAATGTGGTTCAGGGTCTGTGAGACATGCTAATACGGGGACGGGAAAGATCACTATACCTCGCTGTTGGAGAGGATTATTGCCACATTCTGAAACAAATATCATCTCCGTAGAAGATACTTTCATCTACGCATGTTCCTTACACCGTGATATTGTTCACAAGCGGGTGATAATTTCGTCATCGTTTAATATAGTAACATAAACATAAACGTTGATGAAAGTACGGTCTCCGTATATGTATCATCCACGTGAGTACTACGTAAGTATAGTCTCTGTAGATGTAAGTATCATCCACGTAAGTACTATATCTCGGTTTTGTTGGTGAAAGTATCATATACGTAAGTACGATGTCCGTAGATCTATCATCCACGTAAGTACTATCTCTGTTCCGGTTGTGAAAGTATCATATACGTGAGTACGGTCTCCGTAGATGTATCATCTACGTAAGTACTACGTAAGTACAGTCTCTGTAGATGTTAGTATCATCCACGTAAGTACTATCTCTGTTCCGCTGGTGAAAGTATCATATACGCAAGTACGGTCCCCGTAGATGTATCATCCACGTAAGTACTACGTAAGTACAGTCTCTGTAGATGTTAGTATCATCCACGTAAGTACTATCTCTGTTCCGTTGGTGAAAGTATCATATACGCAAGTACGGTCCCCGTAGATGTATCATCCACGTAAGTACTACGTAAGTACAGTCTCTGTAGATGTTAGTATCATCCACGTAAGTACTATCTCTGTTCCGCTGGTGAAAGTATCATATACGCAAGTACGGTCTCCGCAGATGTATCATCTACGTAAGTACAGTCTTTGTAGATGTTAGTATCATCCACGTAAGTACTATCTCTGTTCCGCTGGTGAAAGTATCATATACGCAAGTACGGTCTCCGCAGATGTATCATCTACGTAAGTACTACGTAAGTACAGTCTCTGTAGATGTTAGTATCATCCTCGTAAGTACTATCTCTGTTCCGCTGGTGAAAGTATCATATACGTGAGAACGGTCTCCGTAGATGTATCATCTACGTAAGTACTACGTAAGTACAGTCTCTGTAGATGTTAGTATCATCCACGTAAGTACTATCTCTGTTCCGCTGGTGAAAGTATCATATACGTGAGTACGGTCTCCGTACATGTATCATCTACGTAAGTACTACGTAAGTACAGTCTCTGTAGATGTTAGTATCATCCACGTAAGTACTATCTCTGTTCCGCTGGTGAAAGTATCATATACGCAAGTACGGTCTCCGCAGATGTATCATCTACGTAAGTACAGTCTTTGTAGATGTTAGTATCATCCACGTAAGTACTATCTCTGTTCCGCTGGTGAAAGTATCATATACGCAAGTACGGTCTCCGCAGATGTATCATCCACGTAAGTACAGTCTTTGTAGATGTTAGTATCATCCACGTAAGTACTATCTCTGTTCCGCTGGTGAAAGTATCATATACGCAAGTACGGTCTCCGCAGATGTATCATCTACGTAAGTACAGTCTTTGTAGATGTTAGTATCATCCACGTAAGTACTATCTCTGTTCCGCTGGTGAAAGTATCATATACGCAAGTACGGTCTCCGCAGATGTATCATCTACGTAAGTACAGTCTTTGTAGATGTTAGTATCATCCACGTAAGTACTATCTCTGTTCCGCTGGTGAAAGTATCATATACGCAAGTACGGTCTTCGTAGATGTATCATCCCCGTTAGTATTATTTCTATAGATGTAAGTGTCATTCGTATACCTTAGTAAGAACCGGTCCTTGTTAAACTACGATACGGAATTTTCGGTGTAGTCCAAGCTTTCACACACACGAGCGTGTATGCGTGTAAGTCAGTTCAACAATCTGTAACGCGTGATTAAGACCCATTTCATCTCACCGCGCCTCTTAGGAACAGGCATACGGCGTATAAATCCTATTCTTACTAGCCCCGATACAGGATAACGGGAAGATAGCTAAAACTAAACTCACCCACCCATTCCTCGACAATATTGTCTCCAAGACAGGAAAAAATAGGAGTGAGTTTCATTTAAGGCCGCTGTTAATAGTTTCAGTTTCAGCCTTGTTAATACAATGAAAATGGAATTTTTTTAATTCTTTTAATTTAATGGTTTAGGGGATTTTGTTTGCTTTTATTTTGGTTTTGATTTTTCGTTCTTTTTGTTGTTGCTTTTTACACTTTTTTTTTTTTTTGCTGTTAAACAAATATTCATTATGCTGTTACTTCTCAGTAAAAAGGCTTATGATAGACAACTTTGGCATCACAGGCCTTTATACGCCACATTTAGCAATATTCCAGCGATATGTCGGTAAATAATCAAGTTTTGACCAGACATTCCAGTGACTGACATCATGAGCATCGAACTCCACAATTTAACCGAATCTGGGCTCAAATGCTTCAGATCTGTCATGTTTTCTCGTCAGCTCTTCATCATCCTCATCCTGAGTCTCCTGGAGAAGAGGCGGAACCCTAAACGCTGTCGATGTTGCGGAGACAGACCCGGCCTCCTGGTGTAAGACACTTTCTAAATTTATCTTACAGAGGGTGAGTGAGTGAGTTCAGTTTGACGCCGGTTTTATCGGTAATTAAATAAATCACGGCTTATTCACTTCATGTGATTCATGTATCAGACCTTTACCATTTAGTTAACCTCAGGAGCAAGGGAATAATCCCATCCTACCATTGACCACAGTCAAGGCAAATCTGGGATTCGAACCTATGACTACGGAATTGAACTATTTCTTGTAATTCCTTTTTTATTCACTTTCCTGTAATCAACACTTAATTAATATGAATGCTGTTTTGCAAAAGAACGCATAGTATTAAAACTTTCACTTGACCAAAAAATCACGACCAGGCTTATTTTAAGCTTATTTTAGCTCCAAAACAATTCAAACCTGACGTGGGGCGGTGGGGTAGCCTAGTGGTTAAAGCGTTGGCTTGTCACGCCGAAGACCCGGGTTCGAATCCCCACATGGGTACAATTTGTGAAGCCCATTTCTGGTGTCCCCCGCCGTGATGTTGCTGGAATATTGCTTAAAGCCGCGTAAAACCAAATTCAGTCAGTCAGTCAATCAAACCTGACGTCCGAAGCAAGATACACCATGTCTCGCTGCTTTGTTTTAGCCACTGTCAAACATGTTTGCATACTTTCTTCTTACGGTAGTTGATACTGAGAAATCGGTAGCCGAGCATATATACACATGCTCAAAAGTATCGCAACACATTGATTGTTAACCCCTATATAGCCATTTATATTCATACTATAATTATGTTTGTTTGTGGGAGTATTTTGACCCGTTGCATGCAATATACATTGATTCAGATGGTGTTGCGATACTTTTTTCCGTGTGTATTTAGATACGGGCTAGACGGTAATCGATTCAAACGGACTGATGTTATCTACAACGCTAACTGTATTGACTGTGGGAGTTGATTACAGATCACGAGCACGTACTTAGTTAACCTGCTGGTACAAGACATTCTCATTGATTCCTCTGAAACACCCTCCTCACACCCTCCAGGGCTTCGTTTCACAAAGCTATCGTAGCGCTACGACTGTCGTACCTCCTATACTGTAACATCGACTTACGACAGTCGAAGCGCTGCGATATCTTTCTGAACCGGTTCCAGGGTCGTAGGGTTGTAGCGGTTGCAGCAGAGCCTTGAGTGAGTGAGGAAATCTACTTCAACGCCGCTTTGATCAATATTCCACTTATATAACGGCTCGAAGTGGGTGGAAAACGGAAGTGACCCAGGTCTCAGACTTGTACCACTTTCTTTTAACGTCGGGAAAGGTGCCGACATACGGACAAACCTGGAAAATATAATCGGGTGGACCCCACAATCATGGATTTCAGGTTTGCCCTAGTCTGTCTCAGAGTCCCTGAACCACATTATTTTCCCTACTGCACAGCCCTCGCTGCAGTGCTTAAGGGGTAAATGAAGCAAGTCAGATTTCCACAGGTTCAGGATCTCCAAACTCAGTGGGGCTTCTATTCAATATATGTATTCAGGGACTAAGCATTAGGTAGTCTAGGTTTGCCCAAACGGAGCAATTCTACGTTATCGTGGCGACTTGGCCCACCTGCAGCTGCGGCCGGGATAGTAGAGCCCCATATCCTCATATCGAAGACCTGTTGTGAGTGTACATTCATGGCCATCTCTGCGACTGTAATATGTGGGTTTTTTTTCTCAGAAATTAGAATTAAATTAAACTTAGATAAAATTAAATACTGTATTTTACATGGGATCTAAAAAATAATTCATGTCTTTTGTGCCATTTTTAATTTCCCAGTGAACAACCGGTGCTATCGTATAGAGCTCCATGTCCAACTCGGTGATACGTTGCGTCTGACAATAGAGGTACATACCCTGTGTATGTATATATATATGTACATAGATCACAGGTCATCTAGTTGAAATCATTGTGGGCCTACTGTCCGTTATCTCACCTGTCAGCACATGCAAGGTATGTGTGTTAATGTGGACCACGTCAGACAGGTAACTATCACAATGACCTGCACGCTTATCACTAGGTCACACCTGTGGGTATCAGTCACGGTCAGCTGTTGTTCGGATTTCTGATATTTCGTGGACTGATAACTTACTGAGCTAGTTACAATTAACGTGATGCATTGTTTCAGTCATTTAAGGTGATGCACGATGTTCAATCCTTATATGGATAGTTTATATTAATCATAACAATATAATATTAAAACACATATACGTCTCTGTATTGACAATAGCGGGTGACCTGTCCTAAATAGAAACCTTCCAGCTAGCTGTTGTTCATTTCCTGATGAGGGGCGCTTTACATGGGTACAGCGTGTGAAGCCCATTTCTTGTGTCCCCCGCCGTGATATTGCTGGAGTATTGTTAAAAGAAGCGTAAAACCATACTCACTCACTCCTATAATAGCCCAATCTAAAAATGGCAGAAATACAACAAAAGAATGACTCCAAACTACTCCACAATTCAATAGCAGCCCTTCAACGAGAGCCTTCTTACAACTAGGAGTGCATGACGCCCAACTTTAAAACATGACACTAACTGCTGACATGTTCTCAATATTACAGGGGCAGTGGGGTGGCCTAGGGGTTAAAGCGTTCGCTCGTCACGCCAAAGACCCGGATTCGATTCCCCACATGGTACAATATGTCATGCCACAGATATTTCGGGGACTGATAACTTACTGAGCAAGTAACAATTAACGTGATGCATTATTTCAGTCATTCAAGGTGATGCACGGCGTTCAATTCATATATTGACAGTTGCATGAATCATAACAATATAATATTTAAAAAAAATATCTCTCTGTATTGACAATAGCGGGTGACCTGTCCTAAATAGAAACCTTCCAGCTAGCTGTTGTTCATTTCCTGATGAGGGGCGCTTTACATGGGTACAGCGTGTGAAGCCCATTTCTGGTGTCCCCCGCCGTGATATTGCTGGAGTATTGTTAAAAGAAGCGTAAAACCATACTCACTCACTCCTATAATAGCCCAATCTAAAAATGGCAGAAATACGACAAAAGATTAACTCCAAACTACTCCACAATTCAATAGCAGCCCTTCAACGAGAGCCTTCTTCCAACTAGACCTGCAAGAGGCCAACTTGAAGCATGACACTAATCACTGACATGTTCTTATTATTACAGGGGCAGTGGGGTGGCCTAGGGGCTCGTCACGCCAAAGACCCGTGTTCGATTCCCCACATGGGTACAATGTGTCATGACACAGATATTTCGGTGAATGATAACTTACTGAGCAAGTTGCAATTAACGTGATGCATTGTTTCAGCTATTTAAGGTTTCAAATTGAATTTGGTGGCGTTCTTAAACCACTCGTATGCAAATTCCATATTACGAGATCCTCAATCTTTATGCTGACAGATACATAAATTATAACGAAACAATACAACAAAACCAAAAATACATGCCACTATATACTGAAAGTAGCGGGTGACCATTACAAAGCCAGGTGTCATTCATTTCCCGATGACCCGTGCAGGTACGGATTAGAATGAACCTTCAGTAACCCATGCTTGTCGTAAGAGGCGACTAACGGGATCGGGTGGTGAGGCTCGCTAACTTGGTTGACACATGTCATCGGTTCCCACTTGCGCAGATCGATGCTCATGATGTTGATCACTGAATTGTCTGGTCCAGACTCGATTATGTACAGACCGCCGCCATATTGCTGGAATATTGCTGAGTGCGGCGTAAAACTAAACTCACTCACTCACTCATTTCCCGATGAATGTCAGTATGTCGCAAGATTGAAAATGTATACCTCTCTTTGGATTTGGTTTATTTTGTTGTGAGTACAATATGTGGAGATCTTTTCTGGTGTCCCTCGCCATGATATTGCTGGGGTATTGTTCAACGCAGGGGCGGTGGGGTAGCCTAATGGTTAAAGCGTTGGCTCGTCACGCCGAAGACCCGGGTTCGAATCCCCACATGGGCACAATGTGTGAAGCCCATTTCTGGTGTCCCCCGCAGTGATGTTGCTGGAATATTGCTAAAAGCGGCGTAAAACCAAACTCAGTGCGTCAGTCAGTGTTAAACGTGGCGTAAAACCATACTCACTCACTCACTTAAGTCACTTATGTGCACATCGCGATGCACACTATTATTGTAAGTACCGTTACTCAAGTCCGGGTTACCGAGGTTCTGTTAGTAGAGAATGTGTTTATGTTTTAATGTTCTGTTGAGTTTAAATACATTTCGAACGTACACTGTACATACTGTTCCAAATGTAACTTTCCCAGCATGAAGTTGTGAACACACGATTGCAAGAGTTGCCTCCCTTCCGAACTCCTTTGTTCTTACAATTTGCATTTGGTCTTTTTTTCAAACATTATACTGTCCACACCATCTTCTGTTCGGAAGCCCATTTCTGATGTCCCTCGCCGTGATATGGCTGGAATAAAACTAAAAAGCGGCGTAAAACTGTACTCACTCACTCACTCTTCTGTTGCAGCCCCGTGAACCTCTTGGATGGAGACCAGGACAGATTCGCCTATGCCGCTGCCTTCGGCTCCACCGCCACCAACTGCCTCATCTTGTTCGGGGGCGACTACATCCCCGACAACTCGCCCATGTGGTCACAAGGTCAGCAAACTACCCACAAACACACGCGGTGCCTTCAAACCAGAAAATTTATTCTTATAACAAAATTGAGGCTCGACGTACCAACTCCGTACCATAGAGCCGAAGTGCTTTTTCTCACCCACTTAATGAATACGTCACTGAATTTTAAAGAAGTTATTTATCTTGAATAAACGAAGTAACAGAGGGACATCTTGCCCTGTAAGACCCTTCCAATGATGGCGACTTCAGTAACCTCTCCAGAATAATCTACAATAAAAAGTCGTAAACTGAACATGTTATGTTCAATAAGAGAATATGGCTAAAACAGATTAAAACTGAAACAAACATCCCAGCTGCCTCCATAAATCCCCTTTTCGATCCCCACTCCGCTCTAGAAAAGTTAGAAAGGTCGATGATTGTCACACCAGCAGCCAAGTGGTTAAAGCGTTCGCTGATCACGCCGAAGACCCCGGTTCGATTCCTCACTTGGGTACATTGCATAAAACCCATTTCTTATGCCCTTCACCGTGGTATTGCGGGAATAGTTCTTAAAGCGGCGTAAAATCATAACAGACACACACTCCAACAGGTTGGGGAAACCTACCGATCGGTCTATAATACGCCGAACGGAAATTATAGGCCATTCTGCCTATGTAGCTATGGGCCGATCGGGCTATATTTGAACATTTTTCTAATTATTTCACAAACTATCAATTTCCGCACGAAATGGTATTATACGATCATAGAGATGAATAGTTAATGGACCTCCTCAGCTTGAAAAATCGCATTTCTACGTCTTGGACAGGTTGGGGAAACCTACCGTTCGACCTATCATGGGCCAAACGGGATATTATAGGCCAATCAGCCTATAATTATGATATTTATCAAATAAATTTGAAGTGGTGCATTTCCGCATGAGGATATTAACATCATTCAAGTTTTGATGTCCTAAGTTTTTCATTCAAACCCTTTTTGAGAATTTTCATCACATAATAAAGGAGTTTGGAAAATGCATATTAAATATAAGTCTATAATATTTTGGACAATTTTCACTGAAGATTAATGACATAGATATTCAGTTTTTAGTTTTCAAAAAGAAAATATATGCAAAATTGTGTTCTTAATGAACATGATATAAATTTCCATTTTGTCCAAAAACTTATTTGTTAATCCTCCACAGTTCAGAATTTCCTATAGGGAATCTGCACAAATCCAATGGAAAATTCTTTAATAAAAATAGTCTTTGATACCGTAAATCCGTGTCTAAAAAGGGCGTGTGGAACACCCTTCAGAAGTGTTGGCATCATGGAAGTATGGAAACAGTTCTTTGAGGATGCCAAAAGCAACATGTCACTGCGGCTCGGGCATATCTTCCCTGATCTCTGCAACTGTCTTTTCAAGACTTTGATGGGACCATAGGGGCGTGTCTCGCTTAGAAACAGCGTTAGAAAGACATGTAGGTGTATAGATCCTATTACTATATAAAAGGACACGCCCTTATGGAAGGGACGGTGGGTCAGCCGAGTGGTTAAAGCGGTCGAACACCCGGGTTCGAATACCCACATGGGTACAACGTGTGAAGCCCATTTCTTGTGTCCCGCGTTGTGATATTGCTGAGATATTGCTAACATGGCGTAAAACTCCCGACTAAGAAACTGTTGGCAGAAATATGTCTGACATTTTCTTTTCATCATTCGTCACCACTCGCCCCTTTCCGTAACCTGCAAGAAGACTCGTCCCCCTCCATTCGTGACCAACTCGTGTTATTCCGGGACAAGCCGAATAGTCTTCTTGCAGGTTACGGAAAGGGGCGAGTGGTGACGAATGGTCCCCCTCCATTCGTGACCAACTCGTGTTATTCCGGGACAAGCCGAATAGTCTTCTTGCAGGTTACGGAAAGGGGCGAGTGGTAACGAATGGTCCCCCTCTCTATGCTTGTTCATTCGTCACCACTCGCCCTTTTCCGTAACCTACAAGTAGACTATTCGGCTTGTCCCGGAATAAAACGAGTTGGTCACGAATGTCATTTTATGTTTTCAGTGTTCCTGGCCATGCTGGCCGTGACGGAGATGGGAATAGATTACTACCCGTTCTTCGCCTGTCTGGCCAAGAAGACCAGCTTCATCTGGTCACTGATAGGCCTGGCCTACTCCATCCTTTGGTGAGCATGGTCATTGCTCTTGTTCTGAAATCAAACAATATCTTGAGAATCAGCTTAAAACGAGATTTTTAAAAATCCGAATATTTTAATGAATATTATGGTTCTTACGGTTTATGTAATTTGTGAGTGACGGCTGCAGTCGGCACGACATAACCCTTTTTAACGAACACCTCGTGACACCAATTGTCAATGGACCATTCGTCAATTTTCACCAGTATTTATCCTTGTACATCCAGTGCAATTTGGTTTGTGGGATAGTCGAGACTTGTTATTAAGTCGGAAAGCCCTAATGACACATTCATGACCAACTCGTGTTATTCCGGGACAAGCCGAATAGCGGTTACGGAAAGGGGCGAGTGGTGACGAATGCCTAATGACACAGACTTTAAAGGCACAATGTCACACATTTTCGACAATATTTTGACTTATGTTAAATATCTTGAGGCATATGCACTCACTTTAGCTTCCTATTGATGCAATAAAAAACTTATTATTCCTTACGACTTGCCTGAAATCCACAATTGAAACTTCCAGGCGAACAGCTTCCAAACAGAGAACACTTGTCATAAAGTAAACAATTACTCGAGCTCTGTGCATCGAAAACTGTCGCACGCGGTGTTGTTGGTGTTGCCGTACTGGTTTCAATCACAAGTTGTGCGTAGGATATTTGTAAAGAGCGCTCAAAGGGACATTGCTTAAAATAATGTTCGGCTGGTGGAGGGCGCGACAGTCGATTTAATGCAACGTTGCGTTAATTCATTCGAATTTAATATTGTAATCTAAATGCGTAATTTGTTTTTAGAGAGGCGTGGTGTGATATAGTGCCTTTAAAATCCTGACTGTCAACTGTTTCCCCGTTGTGATCTTTGAACAGGTATATGCTAGAGTCCCATTCCACCTATAATCCCTAGGATTAGACTCTTGGGGACATCTGTTCCTCTTGAGAACCCGGGTTATAATTGTTCCTTAGCACGTCGCGTTTGTCGTAAGAGGCTGCTTAAAGGGTCGGGTGTTTAGGTTCGGTGACTTGGTTGTCGTCATGTCATCGTTGCCTGCGGCGTGGATCGTTGTTCATGATATCAGTCCCTGGATTGTCTGGTTCAGATTATAATGATAATAATAATAATCTACTCACAGGCGCTTGTGTAGTCCCAGTCTATTTCATTTCAAATAGATGTGTCTTTAGATGTTTTCGAAATGTTTGTAGACTTGGAGCGGATTTCAGCCACATAGGGAGGTTGTTCCATAGCATGGGAGCTGCACATTCAAAGCAGCGGTCCCCGTATTTGGTCCTGGATGATTACAAACTTCAGCCGTCTTATGGCTGAACAATTGCTGAGTGTGGCGTTCAACAAAACAAATACACACATTTACATTAAATATAACGCTGGTGTTGCTTGATGCATACTACCCATATGAAGGTAGAGAGCGCCCGATTTTGTTTCATGTAACTATACGAGTATGACTATCAGTTCAATCCGTGACAGATTAATTTCAGTCATATAAAACAATTCGGTGATTTTTAACTTATTTTGTGTAGTATATATGGACACTTCAAAAGAGTTGTATGTTCTATAAGTTTTGAACACCGGTCATAGTTTTCTGGAACACATGAGCAGTTAGCAACTAAGGGCATGAGGACACTAAACTGCATGTAATCTTCCATAGAGTAGAGTGTTTTTAAAAATTTGTTTCGCTTAGGAGTTCCACTTTCAGTTTAAGCATATACTCACATATGGTAGAGACCTTGTTATGTTTGAATCCCTAAGTATGCAGGGTAAATATTCCTTCACTTGATCACTGTATTTTGAAGTCATGATCAAGAAATTCACTATGTTTTTCCCTTTAATCGATTTCAGGTTTTTAGTCAACCTGGCTCACGTGTTTGAATGCGTGGATGCATCCGACTGGGTTCGTATAAAACTAGAACTATCTACAGCACTGTTACAAACGCCGGTGGTTGAAAGTAGCTGGTTAGCTTACCATTTTCGACAGCTTAGTTATTGAGAGAGTTTCCAACCCCCTTACTGAAACATATGTTACCAAAGTGTCCCTTGAGGCAAGTCTTCGAAATGTGAACTCAGCCGCGAACCTTCTAGCCTCACTGGCTTTGGTTGTATAACTCCCAGGAAGCTGAGAATTAAAAAAGGAACACCTACAGTTCCATTGACTGAGTAATAAAATTTAGTGCCATGTGCATCGGGCGGTTTCTAAAACATGCTGAGGTTAAGTCCCGTGTCCTGCACAGGTCTTCACTGGACAACCAGTGGTCATCCAGCTTCCGGTGCTCGCCTGTCTTCTGTACCTTGTCATCACCTTCTTCATCCGGGTCATCGTCGCCATCTTGACAACCATCAGATCAATGACAGAGTCGTACGTAAGTGCTTTGTAACTCATTATCTCCCGGGGCGGTGGGGTAGCCTAATGGTTAAAGCGTCCGCTTGTCACGCTGAAGATTCGGGTTCGAATCCCCACATGAAGTCCTATTTCTGGTGTCCCACTCCGTGAGGTTGCTGGAATAGTGCTAAAGCGCCTTAAAACTATATACACTAACTCATTATCTCCCGAAGGACAGGGGTGTTCTAGAATCCTTTTACCCTTGGCCAGCATCATGCCGGAAGTGAATCGACATAGGCGCCTTAATTCGCTGCGCGGAGTTGCGGCCCATTAAAATCAGTGATCAAGGACTCGAGTCCCGGTTCGTCTCCATTATGTTTCTTGATTTGTCAGCACCATGGATTCTACCACAGTGATTAATATCTAAGACCAGGATCATATTGAGCTTTTTCTCTTTCACCTGTCGCATAACCTTATTATGATTATAAATATTTTACATTTATAGAGCAAAACCTGCATAAGAAATGATGCAATGCTAGAATATATTTCTCTTTATAAAATAATAGTTTCAGATACTATATATGTTGTTCCGATCACTGCATCAGAATTCATCTCCTTATATTATTGCGTATGTTTTATCTAAATCACCGGTGGGAACGTGTGCACAGTTGATTGCTATTTCCGACTCTGTATACAAGACAAATAGACATGATAATATTAATCCCTGCATATAAGACAATGCCTAGCAAAAACAAAATAAAATGAAATCTTGTCTGGTGATTGCAAATTTGACGTCTTTACTCACAAAGTCGTCTTCTCTCGTTTGTCAACACGAAGCAATACGATGTCGTTTTCTTACCCCCTGAATTTTTTTTTGACGAAAGTGTAACCAATAGATAAGCCGACCCCTTCTACAGACTGCTTTATTGGTCCTCAAAATTCGGCTTATCTACGGTAATATACGGTAACTCATCATGGCAGTTTCTACGGTAACGGACGAAACTTGTCTAGTCCGGACTGCTCTATAATCCGGACAAATGAGTCGGTCCCAGTCCAGTCCGTAATAGACAGATTCCATTGTTCCGGGCAGTGTTAACCAAGCTATGGTTTGTTTGTTGATCAAATTATTTGTTGTTTGGCGTCGTACTCGGCAATATGACATACATATTACAGGTACCAGTGAGTAATCCATACACGTGAGTAATAAGATTGTTTAAAGTATGAAGATGTAACTCAGATATCGTACATTCTGATATTTCTTTTCCTTTTCGTGTTCAGACACATAATACAGATTCAACCTACCTGATCAACGATAACAAGGTACCGTTATGTGATTATTATTAATATTTGAGCATGCTTACACCGAAAGCAAAACGGCGAAAGTGGCCTGTATCTTCTATGAGAAGGAACGGATCTTCTTTGTAGATGAAAGTATCATCTATGAGAAGGAACGTATCTTCTTTGTAGATGAAAGTATCTTCTATGAGAAGGAACGTATCTTCTTTGTAGATGAAAGTATCTTCTATGAGAAGGAACGTATCTTCTTTGTAGATGAAAGTATCATCTATGTGAAGGAACGTATCTTCTTTGTAGATGAAAGTATCTTCTATGAGAAGGAACGTATCTTCTTTGTAGATGAAAGTATCTTCTATGAGAAGGAACGTATCTTCTTTGTAGATGAAAGTATCATCTATGAGAAGGAACGTATCTTCTTTGTAGATGAAAGTATCTTCTATGAGAAGGAACGTATCTTCTTTGTAGATGAAAGTATCATCTATGAGAAGGAACGTATCTTCTTTGTAGATGAAAGTATCTTCTATGTGAAGGAACGTATCTTCTTTGTAGATGAAAGTATCTTCTATGTGAAGGAACGTATCTTCTTTGTAGATGAAAGTATCTTCTATGAGAAGGAACGTATCTTCTTTGTAGATGAAAGTATCATCTATGAGAAGGAACGTATCTTCTTTGTAGATGAAAGTATCTTCTATGAGAAGGAACGTATCTTCTTTGTAGATGAAAGTATCTTCTATGAGAAGGAACGTATCTTCTTTGTAGATGAAAGTATCTTCTATGAGAAGGAACGTATCTTCTTTGTAGATGAAAGTATCATCTATGAGAAGGAACGTATCTTCTTTGTAGATGAAAGTATCATCTATGAGAAGGAACGTATCTTCTTTGTAGATGAAAGTATCTTCTATGAGAAGGAACGTATCTTCTTTGTAGATGAAAGTATCTTCTATGAGAAGGAACGTATCTTCTTTGTAGATGAAAGTATCTTCTATGAGAAGGAACGTATCTTCTTTGTAGATGAAAGTGTCTTCTATGAGAAGGAACGTATCTTCTTTGTAGATGAAAGTATCATCTATGAGAAGGAACGTATCTTCTTTGTAGATGAAAGTATCTTCTATGAGAAGGAACGTATCTTCTTTGTAGATGAAAGTATCTTCTATGAGAAGGAACGTATCTTCTTTGTAGATGAAAGTATCTTCTATGAGAAGGAACGTATCTTCTTTGTAGATGAAAGTATCTTCTATGAGAAGGAACGTATCTTCTTTGTAGATGAAAGTGTCTTCTATGAGAAGGAACGTATCTTCTTTGTAGATGAAAGTATCATCTATGAGAAGGAACGTATCTTCTTTGTAGATGAAAGTAGTTCTATGAGAAGGAACGTCTTCTATGAGAAGGAACGTATCTTCTTTTTGTAGATGAAAGTATCTTCTATGAGAAGGAACGTATCTTCTTTGTAGATGAAAGTATCTTCTATGAGAAGGAACGTATCTTCTTTGTAGATGAAAGTATCTTCTATGAGAAGGAACGTATCTTCTTTGTAGATGAAAGTATCTTCTATGAGAAGGAACGTATCTTCTTTGTAGATGAAAGTATCTTCTATGAGAAGGAACGTATCTTCTTTGTAGATGAAAGTATCTTCTATGAGAAGGAACGTATCTTCTTTGTAGATGAAAGTATCTTCTATGAGAAGGAACGTATCTTCTTTGTAGATGAAAGTATCTTCTATGAGAAGGAACGTATCTTCTTTGTAGATGAAAGTATCTTCTATGAGAAGGAACGTATCTTCTTTGTAGATGAAAGTATCTTCTATGAGAAGGAACGTATCTTCTTTGTAGATGAAAGTATCTTCTATGAGAAGGAACGTATCTTCTTTGTAGATGAAAGTATCTTCTATGAGAAGGAACGTATCTTCTTTGTAGATGAAAGTATCTTCTATGAGAAGGAACGTATCTTCTTTGTAGATGAAAGTATCTTCTATGAGAAGGAACGTATCTTCTTTGTAGATGAAAGTATCTTCTATGAGAAGGAACGTATCTTCTTTGTAGATGAAAGTATCTTCTATGAGAAGGAACGTATCTTCTTTGTAGATGAAAGTATCTTCTATGAGAAGGAACGTATCTTCTTTGTAGATGAAAGTATCTTCTATGAGAAGGAACGTATCTTCTTTGTGTAGATGAAAGTATCTTCTATGAAAAGGAACGTATCTTCTTTGTAGATGAAAGTATCTTCTATGAGAAGGAACGTATCTTCTTTGTAGATGAAAGTATCTTCTATGAGAAGGAACGTATCTTCTTTGTAGATGAAAGTATCTTCTATGAGAAGGAACGTATCTTCTTTGTAGATGAAAGTATCTTCTATGAGAAGGAACGTATCTTCTTTGTAGATGAAAGTATCTTCTATGAGAAGGAACGTATCTTCTTTGTAGATGAAAGTATCTTCTATGAGAAGGAACGTATCTTCTTTGTAGATGAAAGTATCTTCTATGAGAAGGAACGTATCTTCTTTGTAGATGAAAGTATCTTCTATGAGAAGGAACGTATCTTCTTTGTAGATGAAAGTATCTTCTATGAGAAGGAACGTATCTTCTTTGTAGATGAAAGTATCTTCTATGAGAAGGAACGTATCTTCTTTGTAGATGAAAGTATCTTCTATGAGAAGGAACGTATCTTCTTTGTAGATGAAAGTATCTTCTATGAGAAGGAACGTATCTTCTTTGTAGATGAAAGTATCTTCTATGAGAAGGAACGTATCTTCTTTGTAGATGAAAGTATCTTCTATGAGAAGGAACGTATCTTCTTTGTAGATGAAAGTATCTTCTATGAGAAGGAACGTATCTTCTTTGTAGATGAAAGTATCTTCTATGAGAAGGAACGTATCTTCTTTGTAGATGAAAGTATCTTCTATGAGAAGGAACGTATCTTCTTTGTAGATGAAAGAATCTTCTATGAGAAGGAACGTATCTTCTTTGTAGATGAAAGTATCTTCTATGAGAAGGAACGTATCTTCTTTGTAGATGAAAGTATCATCTATGAGAAGGAACGTATCTTCTTTGTAGATGAAAGTATCTTCTATGAGAAGGAACGTATCTTCTTTGTAGATGAAAGTATCTTCTATGAGAAGGAACGTATCTTCTTTGTAGATGAAAGTATCTTCTATGAGAAGGAACGTATCTTCTTTGTAGATGAAAGTATCTTCTATGAGAAGGAACGTATCTTCTTTGTAGATGAAAGAATCTTCTATGAGAAGGAACGTATCTTCTTTGTAGATGAAAGTATCTTCTATGAGAAGGAACGTATCTTCTTTGTAGATGAAAGTATCATCTATGAGAAGGAACGTATCTTCTTTGTAGATGAAAGTATCTTCTATGAGAAGGAACGTATCTTCTTTGTAGATGAAAGAATCTTCTATGAGAAGGAACGTATCTTCTTTGTAGATGAAAGTATCTTCTATGAGAAGGAACGTATCTTCTTTGTAGATGAAAGTATCATCTATGAGAAGGAACGTATCTTCTTTGTAGATGAAAGTGTCTTCTATGGGAAGGAACGTATCTTCTTTGTAGATGAAGGTATCATCTATGAGAAGGAACGTATCTTCTTTGTAGATGAAAGAATCTTCTATGAGAAGGAACGTATCTTCTTTGTAGATGAAAGTGACTTCTATGTGAAGGAACGTATCTTCTTTGTAGATGAAGGTATCATCTATGAGAAGGAACGTATCTTCTTTGTAGATGAAAGAATCTTCTATGAGAAGGAACGTATCTTCTTTGTAGATGAAAGTGTCTTCTATGAGAAGGAACGTATCTTCTTTGTAGATGAAGGTATCATCTATGAGAAGGAACGTATCTTCTTTGTAGATGAAAGTATCTTCTATGAGAAGGAACGTATCTTCTTTGTAGATGAAAGAATCTTCTATGAGAAGGAACGTATCTTCTTTGTAGATGAAAGTATCTTCTATGAGAAGGAACGTATCTTCTTTGTAGATGAAAGTATCTTCTATGAGAAGGAACGTATCTTCTTTCTTCTTTGTAGATGAAAGTATCTTCTATGAGAAGGAACGTATCTTCTTTGTAGATGAAAGTATCTTCTATGAGAAGGAACGTATCTTCTTTGTAGATGAAAGTATCTTCTTTGTAGATGAAAGTATCTTCTATGAGAAGGAACGTATCTTCTTTGTAGATGAAAGTATCTTCTATGAGAAGGAACGTATCTTCTTTGTAGATGAAAGTATCTTCTATGAGAAGGAACGTATCTTCTTTGTAGATGAAAGTATCTTCTATGAGAAGGAACGTATCTTCTTTGTAGATGAAAGTATCATCTATGAGAAGGAACGTATCTTCTTTGTAGATGAAAGAATCTTCTATGAGAAGGAACGTATCTTCTTTGTAGATGAAAGTATCTTCTATGAGAAGGAACGTATCTTCTTTGTAGATGAAAGTATCATCTATGAGAAGGAACGTATCTTCTTTGTAGATGAAAGTATCTTCTATGAGAAGGAACGTATCTTCTTTGTAGATGAAAGTATCTTCTATGAGAAGGAACGTATCTTCTTTGTAGATGAAAGTATCTTCTATGAGAAGGAACGTATCTTCTTTGTAGATGAAAGTATCTTCTATGAGAAGGAACGTATCTTCTTTGTAGATGAAAGTATCATCTATGAGAAGGAACGTATCTTCTTTGTAGATGAAAGTATCTTCTATGAGAAGGAACGTATCTTCTTTGTAGATGAAAGAATCTTCTATGAGAAGGAACGTATCTTCTTTGTAGATGAAAGTATCTTCTATGAGAAGGAACGTATCTTCTTTGTAGATGAAAGTATCTTCTATGAGAAGGAACGTATCTTCTTCTGTAGATGAAAGTATCTTCTATGAGAAGGAACGTATCTTCTTTGTAGATGAAAGTATCTTCTATGAGAAGGAACGTATCTTCTTTGTAGATGAAAGTATCTTCTATGAGAAGGAACGTATCTTCTTTGTAGATGAAAGTATCATCTATGAGAAGGAACTATCTTCTTTGTAGATGAAAGTATCTTCTATGAGAAGGAACGTATCTTCTTTGTAGATGAAAGTATCTTCTATGAGAAGGAACGTATCTTCTTTGTAGATGAAAGTATCTTCTATGAGAAGGAACGTATCTTCTTTGTAGATGAAAGTATCTTCTATGAGAAGGAACGTATCTTCTTTGTAGATGAAAGTATCTTCTATGAGAAGGAACGTATCTTCTTTGTAGATGAAAGTATCTTCTATGAGAAGGAACGTATCTTCTTTGTAGATGAAAGTATCTTCTATGAGAAGGAACGTATCTTCTTTGTAGATGAAAGTATCTTCTATGAGAAGGAACGTATCTTCTTTGTAGATGAAAGTATCTTCTATGAGAAGGAACGTATCTTCTTTGTAGATGAAAGTATCTTCTATGAGAAGGAACGTATCTTCTTTGTAGATGAAAGTATCTTCTATGAGAAGGAACGTATCTTCTTTGTAGATGAAAGTATCTTCTATGAGAAGGAACGTATCTTCTTTGTAGATGAAAGTATCTTCTATGAGAAGGAACGTATCTTCTTTGTAGATGAAAGTATCTTCTATGAGAAGGAACGTATCTTCTTTGTAGATGAAAGAATCTTCTATGAGAAGGAACGTATCTTCTTTGTAGATGAAAGTATATCTTCTATGAGAAGGAAGTAGATGATCTTCTTTGTAGATGAAAGTATCTTTCTATGAGAAGGAAAGTATCTATCTTCTTTGTAGATGAAAGTATCTTCTATGAGAAGGAACGTATCTTCTTTGTAGATGAAGGTATCTTCTATGAGAAGGAACGTATCTTCTTTGTAGATGAAAGTATCTTCTATGAGAAGGAACGTACTTCTTTGTAGATGAAAGTATCTCTATGAGAAGGAACGTATCTACTTTGTGGATGAAGGTATCTTCTAGTATCTTCTATGAGAAGGAACGTATCTTCTTTGTAGATGAAAGTATCATCTATGAGAAGGAACGTATCTTCTTTGTAGATGAAAGTATCATCTATGAGAAGGAACGTATCTTCTTTGTAGATGAAAGTATCTTCTATGAGAAGGAACGTATCTTCTTATCGTAAAAATGAAAGTAAAACGTTTATCTATTTCATTGATTCCAATCATCCGTACCTGCCAACAACTTATATTTTCAACTTGATGCCAGGTGGCTCCTTTAAACGCTTAATGCTCGCTCCTATGTACATGTTAAAGTATCTTGCTTTACATGGTTTTATCATTTTTATTTGGAGAAGATCCACTCTCCTTCAAATATTCTAAAAAGTAAGTAAGCTTTTGTCACTTTAGATACAGTTTAAATTTGGACAATCTACATTTTTAAAAAGGAAATCTAATGAAAAACATCAGTCTGCAGTCTGTGAACTGAGAAACCAAATTGCCGTTAAGAACTAATATCATTCACGTTCCTGAGAGCCAGCTGGGGGGATATTTTACTTCCGCTTCTCGAAGTTCACTGGAAGTATGTTTGAAACATTAAATTGTCGATACTGTTTCATATTTGTCTTTCGGCACTCCCCAATGTCCCCGTCTTACATCCTCAGTCAAGATTTTATCCTTTACTAGATGTTGTGAAACGAAAACTATGTAGTGAAACCAATGTGTTGTGAAACGTGTGTTGTGGAACAGATGTGTTGTGAATTCAAACCAATGTGTCATGAAACCAATGTGTTGTGAAACCAACATGTTGTGAAGTTAAACCAATGTGTTGTGCTTTTAAACCAGTGTGTTGTTAAACCAATATGTCGTTAAACCAATGTGTTGTGAATCAGATGTGTTGTGAAACCAATGCTTTGTGAATCAGATGTGTTGTGAGTTTAAACCAACGTGTCGTGAAACCAATGTGTTGTGAATGAGATGTGTTGGGAAACCAATGTGTTGTGAATCAGATGTGTTGGAATTCAAACGTGAAACCAATGTGCTGTGAATCAGATGTGTTGTGAATTTAAACCAATGTGACATAGAACAGATGTATAGTGAAACTAGTGTGTCGTAAGGCATACGTTATGCACCTACTTTCAGAAAAATAATTTGTATTGTCTTGAAGCAAACTATTCTGTTCTTACAAAAGTTCCAGTACTCCCAAAATAATTTTAATACGTCGCTCTTCTATCTCGTTTCTCTGTCCCCAGGTCAGCGGACTGGAGTACAGGGTTGTGGTATGTGTTTAACGCTCGTCAAGATCCAACATTCAGATACTCCCCTCGTATCACAGTCACCGTCACTGTCGCCCTGCTCTGTCTGTACGAGGTACGGTGGTTGTTCTGTTATGTCTTCCATATCCTTAACACACCTTTATATGCAACGAAACCCTGCATAGAGTATGAGTCTTAAGCTCACATAGAATCAACTGCGCGGTAATGCTATTTTGTAATGGAATGTACATGGTGTCACAGATATATATATGCACAAAAGCGAGTCAGTTGAATGGACTGTTTCAGAGAGGTCTGTAGAATAAGCATCCTCGATAATCTCCAGGGTATAAATCGCCACTATAATGGATGTAGAATAAGGGGCGATAGGTTAGCCTTGAGGTTAAAGCGTTCGTTCGTCGCGCAAAAGTTCCGGGTCCGATTCCGACATGGATACAATGTGTGGAGTCTATAATTTAATTTTGTTTTGAGTGGCATAAAACCATATTCACTCCCTCAACGATGAAGATATGAGTACACCACAAGGGAAGGATCAGCTCCTGACATCAGATCAAAATGGACACCACTCGTGATATTTTAGATCTGTTAGAAGCTAATACAGAAAGGTTCTTGCAACGATTTGTGATTATGAACGAAACCTGGGTTCACCACTTCCAGCCCAAACAACAGTCTCCAAGTACGTCATCACTGCACGTTTCTATTAATACAGATATTTTAGATTTTTTAGCTCTGTTTGAAGCTAATACAGAAAGGTTCTTGCAACGATGTGTGATTATGAACGAAACCTGGGTTCACCGTTACCAATCTCCAAGTAAATCATCACTGCACGTTCCTTAAGTTTGTCCTTTTTTCAAAAGGTCACCCCTACCTATTTTACTGAGTTGTAAAAGCGAGACAGTTTGTTCATTCGACTTGGTTTTTGTGGATATATCTCCATGACCTCGTGTAATGCCCATTTTAATTAAAACGCAATTCCTGCGCTCTGAAACTTATGTCAACATTACATATCAACTCAATTTCGTCAAATTCTGTTAAACCTGATAAACATTTTTTTTTTAAATTGTGTTTATATTTTTGACATATGATCAAATTAACTACATACATGCAGTGCTCCATGGTAAAATATTGTTTTCTAACAGCTGCATATAATTTTATGTGTGATTCGAAATTTAACAAATGCATTCGCATAGGAACTGAAACTTGCAAATATAAATATATAAATGACATCAAATACGTGAAACAATGATAGTCCCTCAGAAGATGTTTCGGTAAATATCACAGAAGCGAAAGTTGTAAAGATCTACGCTGTCCTGATTACTTTCAGTTTGGCCTGCTGTCGTTCTTAACAATAGAGAAGGCCATAGGTGTCGCCAAGGCATCCTTGCAGAACGCAACTGTGTCGTCCAACATCGCTACAGTGTTCGGGTCAGGGATGTACAACCAGATGAAGCTCCTGCTATACGTGGGACAGAGTAAGGGAACGATATATAATATCCAGGGTGGTGGTGGGCACGAGAGGTGGGTAACTTCACACTTGCATTTATACGTACCATGATTCAATTAGTCGTATCGGGTATGTTCACAGTGACGAGTGTCATGTGAGTATGAAACATCAGTTCAGAAAACACACAGTCTCAATATCCTCAGAAAGAGATTCACATTTATTTCCTACTGATGATTGTAACCCACTAAACGAGAAATTGCATTTTTTAGCAAAACGCTCCAGAGTTTGTTTTTACGGATGAATTCTACGCCAAAATTAAAAGATGATTTTAATTTATTCTCTTTATCTCAAACTGTAGCACTCGTCTAATGTGATTTAGTAAATTTCAGAAATCCAACAATGATGTACCCTTGCGTTGACGTTCCATGACGTTGAAACGTTTCCCCTTTTCGCGAACACCTGGTGCTATCAAATACATTTCACTGTTCATTTCCACTTTACGCTTAGTGGCATTTGTATCGTTCTATAATCGAGGCGTTGACGTTCTATATATTCCCCATGTTTCTTTTACTTCTATGTATTGCAGGGCGGTGGGGTAGCCTAGTGGTTAAAGCACGGTCATCACGAAGGCGTGTGTTTGATTCCCCACATAGGTACAATGTGTGTCCATCGCCGTCATATTGCTGGAATATTGCTAAAAGCGGCGTAAAACCATACTCACTCACTCATTCTATGTCTTCCAGTGTCATGGTATGTTGCTTTTGGCGTGTCGTCGGTGGTAATAGTGAACTACATCCTCAGGATATTCGTCAGTTACAAGCTGCAGCTTAAACGACTGATCAGGGGAGACCACTCTTTTATTCCAAAGCACTGCTCTTCTTTATCCAGGAGTACACTGGTGGTAAGGAAACCTCGCGTCACTCTACATGCCGTTGAGTTTTGCATACTGAACAACATTAGAAACGCACCACCCGTATAATACGAAATATGCCCGTCAGACTGAAATGTAACCATGATATCTGAGCATCGTCGGTGCATTTCAGTGTGGTGCGTTTCTAATGTTGTTCAGTATATTACATATTAATCTCAAGCTCAGTCTAATAGTGGTTTAACTTCGCTTTTAAGATTAATGCACTTGAACATGGCGACTGTTCGCTAGTTAGTAAGTGAGAGACGGCATCCCAACTCCGACCAGACCTTGTTATATCCGTATGTGATAAAAGTTTCTTTTGGTGTTTTTTTTAATTCTCATTTTACAAGAAATAATTTATTTAAAAAAATAACTAATAATAAATACCACTATGTCAAGGTAATATAATCAGTTTCATGTTCTAGGCTCACAGTCTGATGTATTCTGGATCTCAAATTGCTTATATTTTATGGGGTAAGTTAATGTGGACGATTCTGTCCCAGTGAGTGAAGTATTAACTCTATTAAACACTATTTCACAACGTAAAATAACGTTAACATCCTTTCCGAGAACCTTTCCATTTGAAGTAATAGATTTTCATACTAATTCACATAGGGGAAGACTTCATTCGTTTAATTCAAACAACAAGTCTCGGTAAGATTTTGTTGATACTTATTCACAATGGGGAATAATTTGTTAAGATAGATTCACAGAGGAGAATAATTTGTTCATATTGGTTCAAGTGGGTAAGACTTTGTTGATAAGGATGCACATCTGATAAAATCGTTTTCATACTGATTCAAAGAGAGTAAGTCTAGGTTCATATTGTCCACAAAGAAGGCTTCAAATTGATTCCCATAGAGTACGATTTGTTTATAACAACTCACCTAAATAGATTACCATAGATGAAGATATTTCTCATATGGATGCACATAAGGAAGAACTTTCATATTGATTCACATGGTATCATAACGTGAGATGTGTTATATTAAGTTCAGTAGAATAATATTCATACATATAGTATGTTCACAACTTCATGTTGTAGCATACACGTAGTGTGTTATCAATGTCATAATACCACGAGGGAGCCACTTAGAATGGGTTTCATAGAATGTCAAGTCATACGCACAAGGGGTATTAAAACATCGGTAAGATTCCCCTTTTTCACATTGCATTATGTTGTTTCTTTTGGCTATGAATCTTGAACATGACAATATAAATAAAGTTGGAGAAGCATGTGTCTGATGTATTTTATACTCATACCATGAAAAAGGGTAAGACTTTCATATTCACTCCCATAGCGGATGATAACGTCATAGTTAGTATATTGATGACTTCATTAATATGTACATGTTGAGGGGTACTGTTTTCAGGCTACTACATGATGATATTGTCAATATTCATCATCAGTCTCATACTGGCCTACCTGCTCATATTGCCTCTGCTTGGCTTTGTCTCAAGACTACTGCTGGAACCATTCTGGACCATCCTGTACGTACTCCCATCATCACATCTTAATTCCATTTCATTGACCCATTGGCCAAACGCTACGCTGCTGTCAATGTAGTGTTGCCTTTGGGGTTCGAATTTCTGCCAGCAGGTTGCTTATGTTCGTTTGTCCGCAGTGAGAGCTGCGTTAGGCTTTACTTTCATAATGATCAGTCTTATACACTCACCTAAGTTATACAAATTGCGACTATATTTGAATAATAACTTCTGTATGCATATACATGTCCTGGGATTTAAAGTGGATTGCGTTGAGATATGTATTTGACATACGTTGGAATAACAAGTCTATTTGACTGGAGTAATTGTTCTTTTTCCTGCCACCCAGACCGACGGTTTTGGTGTCCTACACGGTATACTATCTCCAGATCCTGGTGTCCAAGAAAGCTTTGCTGCAGAATGAACATTTCTGTAACAATACAACCAACAAGGTCAGAAGGGTGCTTGCGCTGGACAACAGGTGCGATCTGTAATAATAATAGTCAAGTTCTAGTTCCTCTTTAAATTGATATGGTCAACGATAATGCCATCGACTTTCTTCCTAAAACAGATTCCATTGGGCGTAATACGCAAACGATTGATGAACATTCTACCATGACTTTAGTAAATACTAGATTGTGATTGGTTGATCAAAGTAATTCAGAGGTATATAATCACGTTATATACCTCTGATTTTCAAACACATTATGTATGGGTTTTTTAAAAATCTAAATAACGCGGTTATGGTAGAATGGAGATAAACATATTGTGTTGGAAAATCAGAGGTATATAACGAAATTATAATAGCTCTAATTTTTTTAGTTAAAACCTCACTCTACGCGTTCTTAAATCAAATTAGAGCTGATATAATTTCATTGAGATTTACCAACACAGTGTGTTTATCTTTTGATTATTTGAATTGAAACTATGTTTAGGTTGGATGTAGATCCATATGTGGCCCAGCTTGTACGAGCTGGTAATCATTCCTATAAAGTCGACCTGTTCTCTAAAATGAGTGAGTTGAGTTTTACGCCGCACTCAGCAATATTCCAGCTATATGGCGGCGGTCTCTAAATAATCGAGTCTGGACCAGACAGTTCATTTATCAACAGCATGAGCATCGATCTGCGCAATTGGGAACCGATGACATGTGTCAACCAAGCCAGCGAGCCTTACCACCCGATCCCGTTAGTCGCCTCTTACGCCCAGCATGGGGTACAGGCCAATATTCTAACCCGGACCTTCACGGGTTGTTCTCTAATATATGGAATATAGGAATATGCTGTGGGAGCCAAAAGTATTTATCACGGTAGCGATGCCGACGGATACACATCAATGCAAGAAGATGAAGATTTTTAACTGATTCACGTCATAGAGAAATACTTGTATAAATTATAATTGATTCACGTCATAGAGAAATGCTTGTATTTAATTGATTCACGTTGATTCAAGTTTGTTTTAACTGGTTTATGTCATAGAGGAAGAATTGTTTACAAAGGTCATGCCTTAGTGGGAGACCTTGTAAATATCAGTTCACTAGCCGACCGCCTCCTTGGTGGTTAGAGCGTCCGCCCGGAGAGCGGAAGGTCGCGGGTTCGATCCCCGACTGCGTCATACCAAAAGACGTTAAAATATACCTGGCGCTCGGCATTAATGGGTACAACAAGGAGTGGTCGGCTCGGAGTCAGTATACTGTGTCTGAGTTGGGTATTCATGCTTCGCTGCGGCATGGTATCTCAGTGAGCTAGCACTATAAAACAGCTTAAGTCTGGGCTAGTACAAGCAGCCGCACATACACATACACACGCATGCACGTAGTCATATGAGCGAAATATTCTCAAGCACGACGTTAAACCCAATTTCACCTCACCTATCAGTTCACTAATTATAAGATGAAGACAATTGTTTTAAGAAAATGGTTCACGTCCTAGGAATAACTGAGTAAAGTTTTACGCCGCTATTAGCAGCCGGGTCTTCTGCGTGACGAGCGACCACTTTACCCACAAAGTTACCCCGTCGCCCCACGTCATAGAGGAAGACCATGTAGTATTGATTCACATACTAGAAGGATTTATTAAAGTTGATTCACATCATAGAAGAAGACTTTATACATATTGATTCTCACACGGATAAATATATTTACATACATTATTTTCAGACAAGACAAAAGCAACACATTCGCTTTAGAATCACTGCACTTTTAAATGGCGTAAAATCAATGATTGAGAATGCAAACAAATAATACTAATTGTCATTCACTAGATTACCCAGAAAGCTGTGGTAGGACGGGTGGTGGTGGGGTAGCCTAATGGTTACAGCGTCCGCTGGTCTCGCTGCAGATCCGGGTTCGATTCCATACATGGGTACAATGTGTGAAGCCCATTTTTGGTGTCCCCCAGCCGTGATATAACTGGAATCTTGCTTAAAGTGGCGTAAAATCATACTCACTCATTCGTCCGCCCTGGTGGAGTTTTACCCACTGTACAATCTCTAGGACACTTTTGAAAATAGTGTTCTCAATATGTAAAACTGATCTTTCACATGCATAATCTTTCAGGCGTGTGTTCCACAATGTGTCCTACTTCCTGTTTTTCTTCCACATTCTGTTGGGTTTGTACACGTGTTTGGTGAGGATTGCCAAAGGGATTCTTCTTGGAGTTGTCTTCCTTGGGAGAATTGACCGCAGTGGACTGGTCAAGGGCTTTGAACACTGGGACACAGGTAGACACATTAAACACACGGACACTGTTAAAGCATATCATGTAGTGGAACTTTAGAATATTACTGTGAGATGAGGTAAATTTTGGGTGAGTAATTTTGGTTTCACGTCGCATTGAATAGAAGTTTATGTCAGCATAACCCGCTGAAAGCTCGAAATTTTGTAGCTATCAGAGGTTCATATCAGATGCGCAAGAGTTACTTAACTTGGACTCGGGCGGAGCCGCTGATCTTGAGCTGGAATATCAGATTCGCCTGTGAAAGTTGTTTTCTTTTTACCTTCCTCCATATAATGCTAGCCATTAATTAAATTAAATAAATAAAATTAAAAATTAAACTCTTTTCCTCAGTACATATGATGGTCAGCGTCAAGACCCGGGTTATATGTTGTCCTTTAGCAACCCGTGCTTAAGGAAAGTGGTGACTGATGGGATCGGGTGGTCGGGCTCGTGGAGTTGGTTAATGTATGACGTAGCCCGATTGCGTAGATCGATGACGTCAATCACTGGATTTTCTAGTTCAAACTCGAATATTTACAGCTTGTTTTTTGACGCTGCACGCAATAATATTCCAGCTGTGTGGTGGAGGTCTGACCATACAATCCAGTGATGAACATCATAAGCATCGACTCAAATGGGATACGATGACATGTGTCAACCAAGTCAGCGATCTGGTTAGTCACTTACTACAAGCATGGGTTGCTGAAGACCAATATTCACAGACCGTGATAGATGGAATTGATCTGATTGAAGCGTACAACAACGAACACAGACAAACACCAATATTGATGCCTTGTTTCAGGGTATCTGTCGTTCGTGAGTTTCCTGCAAGTGGAGCTGGCTCACACACATCCTGTACTGGTTGTGTTCTGTCAGCTGCTGATGAACGGCGCCAGAGACAGAAGGATGGCGCGGTTCTCTCTCAGTCAGGATGGCCGTAACGGATCTCCATACAAAACATGTTCGTACATACGACAAGTCATGACATTTGAACACCTCTTGAACAGATGTATTTTCAAATAAAGAAAGTTAGGCAGATGTAGAACATAAAAGGGAACATAAAACTGACTATTTGTTGCAGACATATGTACAAGTATTTCCTTAGAGTGTATACTAGTGTATGTGTAACAGTGTGTTGTTACAGTACTGAAATTATTTCTTGACACTCAATTTTACTAGATAAATTTGCTCAGTACACATATTAAGCCAGTAGAAATAACACCCTCTGGTCAGATTAAACACAAATTTGGCATGTTATCAGAAATGTCTAGGTTCAGTGCAGCTTCTACTGCCCTATAAACACTGTCAATATTCCATGTTGAACTAATCATCGTAGCGTCAGTCTCTGAATATATATATATATATATATATATTGATATCTATATATATATACGTGTATATATATATAAAAAATATTTTGATTGTAACAAATAAACCCATTTAAATTAAAACGGAGCCCCAGGGAGACCAGGGAAATCTAGACTTGCTTCATTTAGGGTTTTAGCATTGCAGGGAGGGCTAGGCTATAGGGAAAATATGATCATCTCGTCGTTGACATATGGCACCCGTGAAGATCCGGGTTAGAATGGTTCTTTCCCCTTATGTTTTACTTATGGAGATAACCGCACAGTATTTGTATAAGCCTAGGAGAACTCTGTTGGTAAAATGGTGAGGGTACGGGTCAAGATCGAGTCAAGGTCATTGTCAAGGTCAAGGTAACCGTGGTTCCATCGGTTGTGTATTTCAGTCGGTGACGTAGAGCTTCTGTCTATGGAGTCATCGTACAGGGTGCGGACCAGATGGATGAAGGCCTACACTCTCATCAGGAACCCAGCACTGAGAACAGACAGGAACACGGCACAGGAGGACTGGAAACTACAGCACCTTACCACACAGTGACTTGAAGTATAACTCTGGACGATTCTCTGTGTTTGTTTTTACAGTCGATCATGCTCTTTTTACCAGGATTTCAAAGAGCGTCATACGGCTCTTGCTCAGAAGAAGTTCAATCAAGCTTACAACATTCAAAGCCTCAGTAAAGCTATCAAAAAGTTGTATGATAAACATGGGGAGGACGTTTCAAACGTTGAAGCATCAGTGACAAAACATAAACATATGCAATTTCCTGTTTTGACTTGTACAATACGGTCTGGATTTCTTTTCAGGCTACACCTGGTATCATCATTGTGACTCATAAACACATGCTCTGTCATCTTATGTCATGTTAAGCACTGGATTGTCTACTCCAGACATCCGTCATGCAGTTGTAATATTACCGAACGAGGCGCTAAACAAACAAACACAAGCTCATTATTAGCTGAAGTTGTCGACAATCGATTCTGCTTTTAGCACAGATTTTCTGTGGTTGTAATAAGGGTTCTGTCGCTCTTTTTATAACTTGAACTCAACAATATTCCACCTTAAAGACTAGGGCTTGTGTTAATGGTGCTTGATGTCATGAGCAAAGTCTTACGTTGTTTAGAGTGAGTGAGTGAGTTTCGTTTGATGCCGCTTTTAGCAATATTCCAGCAATATCACGGCGGGACACCAGAAATGGGCTTCACACATTGTACCAATGTGGGGAATCGAACCCGGGTCTTCGGCGTGACAAGCGAACGCCTTAACCACTAGGCTACCCCACCGACCCTATGTTGTTTAGATACTATGGCACATGAAGAAACACTGAGTCTGATCACACGGTATATTCAGTTTGTGAGCGAGGTAGGTTCTATGCCACTTTTAGCAATATCCCAGCAACATCACGGAGGAGAACACCACAAATGGGTCAACCACATCCTTATGGAATCGAACTCGGATCTTTGTCGTATTTTACCACGAGGCTGCACCATCATTCCATTTTGTTTATGTTTGTTATTAACCGTCCCGAGAGGAAATACACTAAACGCCAAAAGAAACGTTACCCTCCTACCTTTATGAATTACTGAAAAACTATCAAAGATATGTTAGAAGGCATTAGTTTACAAGAGAGCTGAACAACACATCTTTATGCAAATCACGAAAATAAATTCACAGATGCATTCATATTTAGGTGAATTGCATCTTTTTCAGAAGTATTAAATTGTCCTATTTTCGACCATGCCGAAATAAACCAATAACAGTGATTTTGATGTCCAAAAGGAAGGTTGAAAAATATTTCTGCTTTGAGACAAAGATAAACCATTTAAAAATAACCATTGTTCAACTATTAAAACAAGAAACAACTGTTGTAGAGTGTGTAAAATTGTCAAATAATGATTGCTATGATTTCAATCTTTTAAAACATTTTCTGTTGATTTGCATTAATGAAAACAAGAAAAACGTGTCTTTGATGTTGTGAAAAAGTGTTTAGGAACATCTAAAACTTTCTTTTTTTAACATTTTTGCTTGCAAAGTAACATTTTTCGATTTTCTGTTTACACATAGCAATATCAATCGCCAAAACGCAGCAATATTCAAGCAGCATTTGCGTCCATTTCACATGTAGAATGATTCTATAGGGTTTGACGAGAGACTAGAATGCATGATATGATACACAAGTACGAGAAATATGCCACGATTAACAGCTGAAGAGAGAGAAAGAGCCAATGGGAATGTGCAGTTGGGGTCGACATACAACGCTGTTGCCAACGCCCTCGGATGCCTTATTCAGTGCTACAGACATACTGGGGTCACCGTAGACAGACCAAGAAGTGGACGTCCGCGCATCACAACGCCCGCTGAAGATAGGTACCTCTGTCATTAAGGAAGGGGGGTAACGTTTCTTGTGGCGTTTAGTGTATGTATCGTGTAAAGAATAAATATAGACATTAAGATGTATTCATAGCGTGTGCCATTACATTCTGCGTGACCCGTGAAGATCTGGGTTAGAATTGATCTTCAGTAACCCATGCTTGTACGAGGCAACAAACAGGATCGGGTGGTCAGGTTCGCTGACTTGTTTGACACATGTCATCTGTTCCCAATTGCGTAGATCTATGCTCATACCGTTGATCACTGGATTGTCTGGTCCAGACTCGATTATTTACAGACCGCCGCCATAGAGCTGGAATATTGTTGAGTGCGCGCAAAACTAAAGTCACTCACTCACATTATGCGTGGGAATAAACGTAACGTTTCTTATCAGACTGAGAATCCACCTCTCCTCAGACAAATGGCCCCCTGGCCAATATTTCACGATAAACGTATATTCATTACAATGGAACTTTTATATACTACTCACACTTTGATAAGGATCACAAAATTTCACAACTTTACTTAAACGTAGATATATAATTTGAAAATGTATCCATTTAAAATTGGATAAATAATGATATGGTAGCCCCTCTTTAGGAAAACAGCAACTTTTATATAACCTTATGCACTTGATACATGAGTAACCATAGACATGGTTTTCATGGCACCAATCAACCATTTTGCAAATCATGGAACGAGTCATTGACAAGTACACATCACCAGTCAATAGCAGGTATGGGATTCACAAGATGCAATGACATACTGAAACCTAGGATCCATGCTAACAATAAGCTGAGATATTTAAACCAAATTTGACCCCACATCAGAGTATTCTGTTGAATCCATGATTTGATCCTTAGCAAAGTGTGAATGGTATACAATTTGTTATTGCGTTTTTTAGTGTTTGTTTGTTGTACATCAACATCTCCCATTATTCTTGGAACCAGATTAACAAATCCTCACTTCTTCAGTGACGGAGTTTCTGACTTATGTCGCCCCTGCACGATCCTTGATAAACCTCACATTACCTGTAAACTAAACTGAGGGGCAAAAGAAACGTCCCCAAAGTAAAATTTGAAAAAACAGTTCTTCTGTTGTCGTTATGACGGAAATTTATTTAGGAACACATCTCCCGAACGCATCCCCACGTCTCACAGAAAGGAAATCCACGTGGAGTTTTTGGTAAGCATGAAAATTGCTTTTATTCACGTTTTTTGCATGCTTCGGTGGAAACATACCCGTATGAAAGTACAGTATAAAAATTATGCTCGACTGTTCAAATTCATCACTTCAATACGTTGGACACAAAGAACATGCCTCGACTCACGGCAGAACAGAGAGAACGAGCTATTGGGATGTTGCAGCTGGGTGCTTCTCACAGTCACGTTGCAAGAATCATGGGTTGCAGCAAGAAAACCATCACCAGACTGATGACACGCTTCAGAACAACAGGTCGGACTGCAGACAGGCCTAGGACAGGGAGACCACCCGTAACCACCCCTCAGGAAGACCGCCATTTACGGGTGCTTCACTTGCGCAACAGATTCCTGACTGTGACGTCATCAGCAACAACCAGCCTTACCCATCCAGTCAGTAGAAGGACCATATCCAGACGACTCCGCCGATTCGGTATCAGAGCCTACAGACCATTCCGGGGCGTGACGTTAACGCGTGAACATCGACGTCGTCGCTTGGCTTGGGCACGTAGAGTTCGGCAGTGGCAGCCGCGGAACTGGCGCCGGGTACTCTTCAGTGACGAGAGCCGCTTCCAGTTGAACAAAGCTGATGGTCGGGTACGAGTCTACAGACGTCGGAACGAACGCACAGCACGTTGTTGCTTTGGCTCAAGCTCTACAGGAAGAATGGCGTCGCATCCCAGATCACGTGATCAGACGTCTTGTGCACTCTGCACGACGTCGTGTGGCAGCATGTATCGCTGCAAGAGGTGGACACACTCGCTACTGAGGAGTTGGACACTCAAAGACACTCTGTCAATACTGATGTGCATGTGTTGTCATGATCGAAACCCGGACATTTGAACCTCCTGTGAAAAACGTCACAAAAACTCTACTTACAGCAAATTGTTTCAATTGTTCTGTAATGACAGTCTGCATAATATGTTCAACAATTATATAAAACATTTCAACATTGAATTGCACGTGTTTGTATCATTTTATGATAAAAAAATGATCGGGGACGTTTCTTCTGCCCCTCAGTTTATGAAGCGCACAGCAGAGCTCATAATACAAATAGAAAGGCCGTTCTCTCTCTTTCGCCTGCAACATATGCTCCCGTGTTTCATCTGGTGAATTCTGACTTGCCTTTGCATGTATTTGTGACGGGTGCAACAGGTGGTACAGGATACGCTCACCTTTCCGCGAACACCTGGTGTCATTACTATACCTTTCCGTGAACACCTGGTATCATCACTATATGCTTTTGACTTATGAACACATGTTTATGACATATCCCGAATCCTACAATCACATTCAAGATTGCTTACAATTATTGAAGAATTGGTATGGATTTATCGGATTTACTTCTCCTTGGTATTAAACAGTCATGCTCTTTCATTAAGTCTATAATCTCAAGGAAATAACCCGTGAAGGTCCGGGTTAGAATTGTTCTTCAGTAACCCATGCTTGTCGTAAGAGGCGACTAACGGGATCGGGTGGTCAGCCTCGCCGACTTGGTTGACACATGTCATCGGTTCCCAATTGTGCAGATCAATGCTCATGCTGTTGATCACTAAATTGTCTGGTCCAGACTCGATTATTTACAGACCACCGCCATATAGCTGGAATATTGCTGAGTGCGGCGTAAAACTAAACTCACTCACTCACTCAAGGAAATAACGAGAAAGAACAAGGCACAATTTTATTGACAGCAACACTGATCCTTATTTGGTGCCAGCTGTATCATGGGTTGTTGCGGACGTAGTCAAGGAAGGCCAAGATCCCCGCCAACGTCTCCTCCCCAGTGGGAATGATTTGTTCGGCTGGGAGGAGAAACCCATACTGCCCCTTGTCCCTGAGTTCCAGAGACACGGAGTATTTGATTCTGGCTTTCTTGTACATGTAGTCACATATGCTGCCTGTCACTTGGTCTGAAAATATTAATACACGTGCTTCATCCATTTGAATAGGGTAAGTGACTGAGTTATAGTTTTACGCCGCTTTTTGCAATATTCCAGCAATATCATGGCAGGGACACCAGAAATGGGCTTCACACATTGTACCCATATGGGGAATCGAACCCAGGTGTTCGACAAGGGAACAGCCTGTTTTTCAGCCTGAGGGCCAATAATGTTTTCAGATCTTCCCGATGGTGTCACGACCTCTAAATGTACAGAGTTCACCCAGTGGAAGTCGGTTGGCAATGCATTCACTCTGGGCAATTTTGCCTGAATCTCCATCAGGAACATGTTTATATTGGAGAGAATTAGATGCTCTGAATTGCTCACACATATCTTCTGCGATTGGCCCAAACTTGTAGGCCGTTCCATGAACTGCAGTTGAATCTACCTTACACATTGTTACATAAATTAAATGGTAGATAACATGAATTGCTCACATATAACTTCTGCGATTGGCCCATACTTGTAGGTAGTTCCATGAACTGCAGTAAGGGCTGCAGTTGCCGCTTGGGCAGATGCCCTCTGTAAACATACAACAAATACTTTAGGTCATTACAAATATTCATTATACACCTCTTGTTTTATCTCTCGATTCCGAACAATTTGGAAACTATTTAAAATCATCATTTTTCAGTAAAAACAAATTATATTGATAGGTAAAATCCTTCACACAACTTGTTTGAAATTAACTTCCAGATAAGGACTTTATTAATTTGGTTCATTCAAGAGTGAGTGAATTAGATTTAATGTCGTTGGGAACAGTATTCCAGTTTTTTAACGGGGTATCAGTTTAATGTGGGAAATAAACGATGCAGGTATCAGGACTAAAAATGTTGGTAAAAACCCACGAGCCTGGACACGGTACAGGCAAACCATCAAACAAGAAAATGGAACTGTATACAACGAAATATACTAGGCACATAAAGAAACTGTGCATTGTCAAAATATTATCCCAGTTGATAAGTACGATAACAATGTCAAAGGTACATATTAACTGTAATGGAGGGATCATGAGACCATAACAAGTCGGGAGAATTGAACTGAAAAGTCAATCACAGTGTCGTCACGAGTCCACACGCGGGAAAGGGGTCAAACGACCATGTCACAAGCTCAATAACGGGTATGTCCACCATCGTCATTGAGAACAGCAGTGCATCGACGACGCATAGAGCCTATCAAACGTGCAAGGAAGACTTGTGGGATGTCACGCCAGATTCTCTCAAGTTCTGTTGCAAGGTCAAGGACGTTATCTGGCGGATGAGGAAGACGGCGTAGACGTCGATCCATCTCGTCCCAAACATGTTCTATCGGGGAGAGATCCGGTGAATTTGCAGGCCAAAGCAGTAAGTCAACGTTGTGGTGTTGCAAGAAATCCATAGCAACCGTTGCCGTATGAGGGCGGGCATTGTCCTGTTGGAATGTTAACCCAGGGCCATGACGTTGCAGAAAAGGAATTGCCACAGGTCGAAGAATCTGATCCCTGTAGCCCACACCAGTTAAGTTGCCCTGAACAATCACCAAAGGAGTTCTTTGGCGTGCTTTTATTCTACCCCAAATCATCACGGAACCACCACCAAAGCAAGACACAGGCCTGTGCATAACGTTCTCCCACGCGTCTATAGACACGTTGACGTCCATCACTATGGGAAATGTTAAACCTGGACTCATATGTAAAAACAACATTTCTCCACCAAAACAAGGGTCTGCGGACATGATTTCCGCACCACATTCGGCGAGCTTGTCGATGACGTTGTGTCAGGATAGGCCGTATGGCGTGACGTCGTGGTCTGATCCCGTGATGACGTAAACGTTGTCGAACTGTGTTGGGGTGGATACGGCGAAGTCCTGGGATGGTCCGGGCAGTCATCACTGCAGTCTGAAACCTGTGGCGAAGATGGGTCACCCTTATCCATCTGTCCTGTCTTGGCGTTGTTACACGTGGACGTCCAGAACGTGGCCGATCGATGACGTCATTTGTGTTCTGGTAGCGTCTCACCAGTGCAGAAATGGGGTTCCGGTGGCAGTGGAAATGTGCAGCCACTTGTCGTTGAGACATTCCCCCACGGACCATCCCAATGGCCTCATGATGTTGTGCAGACGTGAGCCCTGGCATGCTATGCGTTTCAATAGCCGTTTAATTTTTTGAACGATCGCAAGGGCAGGGGTTGAGCTTTCCAAAGTGAGAGTATTGTGTGAAATTCATTTACTCTGTTTCTCTTTCCCGGACTGCACGTGCAACAACGTCTTGCCAGTCTCAAGGACGAAACCACTGACATCACGGAACGTGGCACGTGCATGCATGTTGGATACATATCACTAATCTCTGAGTTTAAATCCTTATGTGTCTACACAGGTTTGATAAATTTAGATTTTAAATTTTTGTATGCACAGTTTCTTTATGTGTCTAATATATATTGCCAATATTTTTAACGGAATTTCTCGTTGTTTCAATTATTTGTTTATAGTTTTCGATATTTCAAGAATTTTCTCGTCATATCGATTAATGTGTAGTTACTTCAACTTCCGATCAAGAAATGGAAATTTCGAGTATTTTACTTTACTTTGATGAGAAATTAATCGAAGCAACGAGAAAATAATCGAACTTTCTAGGTGTGAAGGAAACTTGAAATAACGAGAAAATACTTGAAATTACGAGAGAAATAGAAAAATAATGAAAAAGCGAAAAGAGTAAAAAAATCGAATTTCGAATAAATGGATAAATAATATATACTAATATTGGTTATTTGTATAGTGTCAATATCCAGCTCAGTTGCTCAACTGCGTTTTGTTTTTCCCTCGATCACTGGATGTTAATCGCAACGGCACATCGTATTTTCACTCTCAACTGCATGAGTATCATACAACCCTTGCAGACATTTAGGCGCGCCAAGTTAATACTTGAAATGAGGAGAAATTTCGATGAAAAAATATGCCGCAAAGGTGGCACTATTAGCCTTCCATAGTATGCAGCAAACTCATATGGAAGTGTGTTCAGTGTGCATCCCTTCACCTAACAACGTAACCACCGATTCCTGCTTTCTACAATGAAACAAATGCTGCAGATTACTTACAAAATCCGCGTCGTTGCGGGTAACGCCTTGTTTATAAGCATACGGGTACATCCATAGCTGGGCGTAACTATGGATGTCGATGAAGGCCACTCTGTTGCTGATGCTCATCACAAACGACTTCAAGGCCCTTGTCTCACGCTCAGAAAAACTGAAACTTCCCTTGTAGGTATCTGAACAGGGGTTCACGTTGTCGGGGTCCCATGCTATGAAAATATACCAGATATATGTTACAGTCAATGTGTAAAATCAGGCAATTTGTAAATTGTAACATATATATTACTGAATATGGCTGAATTTTTTGGGAGTTTCATACCCTATGGTTGGGAATATTACCTGACCAACGTATCCTGAAGTTGCGATTCAGGTCAGTTCCCAATGCACCCTGAATATTTTTCTCCAGCTGTTCTTGGGTCGTCTCTGTTCTTCCTCCAAAGTCGAGTCTGGAATTAAATCAAACCTGATTAAAGATAAAGGATAAAAGGATAAAACACTCCGAGGTTTTGGTAGCAAATCCCGAGGGCTGAAGGCCCTTGATAACGGTGTTAGCACCTACACCGAAACGTCGCACTCATTGCAATAAAGAAGTTGACTATCCATAGAACTTGATTTTCCTTCACCTTTACAACTTCTAAAATGCCTCTCAAAGAAATCTCATTCTTCACAGCTATCCTTCATAGCCTAGTGGATAAAACCGCCAAGCTAGAGAGCGATGGGTTGCGGGTTCGAAACCAGTTATCGCCACTATATATTGGAAGTTTTCAATAATGTGATATTTTACAATCAGTGATAGCAAGACAAAGTTGTGTCAATCATAAATAATGGTCATTTCAAAACCTCATATCAGGTAAAATAACGACCATTTCAAAACCTAGGTTGTGAAAAGGTCACAACCTGATTCTGGAAGGAACCCACTTTACTACAGACAAAATCGGAGATAGGTTTATAAATACCATCGCAAATCGTTACTGAAGAGTGACTATGTCCGTCACCAAACACAAATTGCTATGCATAACGACAATAAATAATTTATAAAAAAAAACATATTTAAAAATGTCCATCTCATTACATGTTCTATGTTTTGTTGGATTTAATAATGATTCCTCAAAATGAATATTTTCGCTCTCCATGGATTTTGGCTTTCTAGCGTGCCATGACGATTTGCCCAGACAGACGGACGAGACGGCTTGAACAATGGCCGCCGTGTCAAGCAGTTCATCCGCGAGCATAAGGCGTTACTGACGCCCGGTACTTACACTATTTTACTCACTTCTGGTGACTGCCAGCTGTAGATGTATCCGTCGACGTTAACAACGGGGATGACGTAGATGTCGAACTCGTTAAGGATTGCTGTCACATCGGCGTCAGTACCGTACCGCTGCAGAAGCTGAGACAGAGAGCCAACGATTTTGTTTCTTAACACCGGACAAAAAGGTGTGATTTCCGTGTGTTATAAATCAACCAGACGGAAATCACCGCTTTTCGTGCTGTGATTATCAAATGCGCTACATGGTCAGTAACAAGCGACTGCCTATCATTTGGCAAATGACAGGGGAGATTGTGTCAAAAGAAACTGCAAACTATCTCTTCAGTCATACATCAACCGGCCCTTGAAGATCCGGGTTAGAATAGGTCTTCAGCAACTCAGGCTTGTCGTAAGATGCAACCCAGACTCGATTATTTACAGACCGCATTTATATAGCTGGAATATTGTTGAGTGCGGCGTAAAACAACAAACAAACTAAAGCACTCAGTCAGTAGGCTGCTGTTAACAGGTGCTTCACTAGTATTTGGACGATTTCTCTGCGATACCAAATCGGCACCATACGAAAATAGACCAATACATTATTGCCGAACGTCCAACATTTTCACAGCATTAATGTCCATCCACACACGTCATTTATTCCGCAGTCGTATCTTATTAATGTCAATGCATGAAGCAGGAATTTGACAATAAAACCGATTTGAAATCAATCCATAGAGCATTTATTCCAGTTAGACGGCATGGATGCCAGTCCGTACCATAGTATTTCCATAAATGTACATCCTCATTTCTCATTATGTTTCGTAATTATACCGTATTCATTCCAAAAGTATAGGTAACTCTGAAACTGTTCTGCAAAGCAGTAGTGTATATACACATGCTATGAATCCGTAAAGGTACATAGTTGTGAACAGAAGCGTGATACCAGTCGGCCAAAGGTTTTTTTTGAAGGTACCTAGTTGTGAGCAGTATTGTCCATACAACTGATTTCAATCAGTGAAAGGGACTTAGTTATGAGCACTACTGTGTATACATATGATATCAATCGGTGAAAGGTACATATTTTGAAGCAGTAATGTACATACAGCTGATATCAGTCGGTGAAAGGTATTTAGTTGTGAGCAGTACTGTATATGCATTTGATATCATAATACCTCGTTGGTCATCCAGAGGATGCTGGCTGGGGATATCCACTCCCTGGCGTGGAGCGTCCCTTCTAAAAACACAGCCGGTCTGTTAGGTGCAAGTGACACGGAGATCTGTACACGGAATAAACACAGGATTAATGTGTTGTGTATGCTTTCGACAAAGTTTTAACTGCTGTGCAACTCTGGAGTAGAAGCGAGCAGGCATTTCACCAACATTTCTACAAAAACAACCAAAATATCAAGCAAGAACTTTACTTTATCAAGAAAAGTATTATGAAAACCCATTTGATCTTCATCTTCAGCGAAGAAAAGGAATTTGACCAGTTTGATTCGAAAAGTAGTATAGTTTGAACACTGAACCTTGGGATCACCTATAAACCCATGACAATTAAATATATGGGGATTGGTGATATCATACCTTGAGAACCTTGATGTCATTCCCACCATTAGTTGATCCAATGTCCATTATTGTGACGTATTTAGTAGACGCAGCTTGGTCTAACATCCACTGGTAGATCTGAAGCAATAAAACCCGCATTAAGAGTGAGTCAGTTTAGTTTTACGCCGCACTCAGAAATATTCCAGCTATTTGGCGGCGGTCTGTAAATAATTGAGTCTGGACCAGACAATCCAGTGACCAGCAGCATGAGCATCGATCTACGGATTTGGGATACGATGACATGTGTCAACCAAGTCAGCGAGCCTGACCACTCGATCCCGTTAGTCGCCTCTTACGACAACCATGGGTTACTGAAGATCAATTCTAACCCGGACCTTCACGGGTACGCATAAAGAACCCAATACATTTCAACTGCACAGACATAACACGACACTGCCCATGAGTTGGGTTAACATGATGCAAATCATTTGCATGAGGCAAGTCTTAACATAAAATGGGTTACCTAAACACGAAACATGTCAAATCTTGCCAGCAGATTGTGTGTAAACACAGCAAACTATGAAAAAGTCAGAAATGGTTTGAGTTTTTTTAGGATGCTCAACAACACGGACCAAAAGTATCCCTAAATCATGTCACACTCGTACTGTATTATGCATTTTCAGGTTGGATGTTTTAATACCGTATCTTAACACATGTAATATTATTTAATAGTATTATTATTCGGAACCGGTATTACGATTTTGAGGTTACTGGAAGGTATGCATATGCACCGTACCCTGAGCGATAACTTGTTTTATTAAGACAAGAACTTGTACTGACATGTGTTAAGTGGCAGCTGCTGACTTCAGAACCCATATCATTAAGAACAGGAGTATGTCAGGGCGATTCCTTGAGTCATTTGCTTTACTGCATTATTGCTTATAATAAGTCCAGACCTTCAACACGTCTGACTCAACATCTTGCCAATCCACACCTAAAATACATATTCTTCCTTGTGGAAGTCTTTTCCCGTGGTATTAACATGTTCTTAAAATTCTATAGCAAAAGTCTTCATCTGAAACGTGGCATGTTAGAAGCGAGAGGATTAGTTTTGAGTAGTGAGTTATTAACGTCTTGAGAAAGGTCAAATCTGTACGCATGTACACAGTTTTTGCGTTACAAGGCCCAGAGCTATTTTCATTCTGATCGCTTCGTGCCTTTATCCCACATCTTCACACACCATGATTTAGCTCTGAGTGGCTTTAAACCTCAACGCATGGTCCTACCTCAGACATGGGATGATAAACGGCGTAGTTGAAGGTCGTTACAGAACTTTGAAGACGTGCCTGTTCGTTCGAGAACAGTGACATATTGACGGCCTTCTCAACATCCGGGATCTGGACGGTTGAGGTCAAAGTGAGACTGTCCATCAATGCAGCCATGTTGGGTGGCAGGATGAAGTCGAGAGATGTGTTAGGTCCGGGAACTTGACCGCCATACATCGATCTGTAAATACAGGGGACTATTTTCACAACTTATTTCGTAATTTCGTTCCTAGTCTGTCTCACAGTCCCTGAACCACATTAATTTCCCTACTGCCAAGCCCTCTCTGCAGTGCTAAAGCCCTAAATAAAGCAAGTCTAGATTTCCTCAGGTCTGAATCTCTGGTCTCCCTAGGGCTCCTTTTCAATATAAATGGGCTTGCTTGTTACTATCAAAATTATCTATATTCAGAGACTAAGCCTTAGTCTAGTTCCTTACTGTCCAAAATACAATGACGATGGCTGTTTAAATGAGACTTTTTCAGTTTGATCTCACGTCATTGGTACAAGTGTTCTTCAACAGACACGCTGCTCTTCTAATTAATCTCGAGCCTTTGGCAGAAGCATTTTCTTTTCGTTCTGATATTAATGGGCAAATAACTGCTATTCGTTGCAATTCAAAGCAACTTTTGATGAATGAACTTGCGTAGTTATTTTCAGCAGATTGCACACCAACAGGATGACGTTCTTAACGTCACAAGAGTGAGTGAGTGAGTATGGTTTTACGCCGCTTTTAGCAATATTCCAGCAATATCAGGGTACACCAGAAGTGGGCTTCACACATTGTATCCATGTGGGGAATCGAACCCGTGTCTCCAGCGTGACGAGCGGACACTTTAACCAGTAGGCCACCCCACCGCGCCACGGCACAAGAACAATACATGTATAACATACATAACACCCTACCCCTTCCTTCTGAAGCATTTCCTGAAACTCTCTGGCGACGTGAAACTCTTGCATATTTTTGGGGGTGACTCGCAACAGCTGATGCCTTGAAAAAATGATAATTAACAATGAAAACATAAGATCAAACTTAGATTGATGTTGTTTATTAACGTAAACGGACATCGGCCCATGTAACGGTTTCAAAGCATGTAAAAATATTTTTTAAAAGCACATTGATGCATGTTAGTGTTATATTATACAGACTTGTGACAATCGTAGTAATTCAACAACAACTTATATTGAGTAGAGCGCAGTGGATACAGAAATTGTTATACTGCAACGTATACTTTGTTTGTAGCAACTACTTCTCTCTCTCTCTCTCTCTCTCTCTCTCTCTCTCTCTCTCTCTCTCTCTCTCTCTCTCTCTCTCTCTCTCTCTCTCTCTCTCTCTCTCTCTCTCTCTCTCTCTCTCTCTCTCTCTCTCTCTCTCTCTCTCTCTCTCTCTCTCTCTCTCTCTCTCTCTCTCTCTCTCTCTCTCTCTCTCTCTCTCTCTCTCCCTCTCCCTCTCCCTCTCCCTCTCCCTCTCCCTCTCCCTCTGAGGCTAAGAATACCTGTGCAAGGTCCTTTAGTTAGGACGTGTTACAACAGAGCAAGTGTCTGGGTTATGGATTCACTATAATATTTATGAAGGAATGTCTTGTCTAAGATCAGATTAAAAGGGTCGTTCGAGACAAAACTGGTACTCGGCTTCTGCTTGTAGTAAAATACAAAATTGTATCTTTGGTATATCATATTTTCTTCTACATAACCTAAGAGTATGGCTTGAGCAACAGAATCGTACGAGAGAAAAACTAAATAGGGTCACATCAACATGTTTAACACAGTCAAGCAAAAAAAGCTGAAAGATTCTTGTTTCGAATAATAAAGCACGAGCTGAGAGATTGTTCTAGCCTACCAAAACTATGTTGATTTTCAATATCAATACATAAACACAAACACAACACTATTCCCCAAAACATGTTTTCAACCAAACCGAAGCCAAAGGAATACATCACCAAAAACATAAGAGGCCCAGAACGTTTAATCCACTCTGCTCCGAAACACTGTCGGTGTGAGAACAGCATTATCTATTTCTGGGAACCTCTTTCAAACTGTAACCTTTACATAACGTACACCCCAAATATAAAACCTACTTGCAAAGAGATATTCTTCTAGTTTCCACTCAGTAATTGTCGCATCGCCATGTTGCAGCTATTCGCGGCGATTTGGTGTCAGAGGAGGGATGGAACAATATATACTTTTAGACTATTGCTTCAAATGTACGAATACATTTCGGGTAGAGCGGATAGCTACAGTGATTGAGTAGGACATGTGTCGATGCGGCGGTGAGGTTCGGCTGACAGCCTGCAATTATATTCATAATATCAATCACTTGATTGTCTGATCCAGGCTGGATTATATTCATTCCTTCTTCATATGGCTGAAAGTGACATGGATGTGCACACACAAACACACACACACGCACGCACGCACGCACGCACGCACGCACGCACACGTTAACCTTACCCGGCGTAGCCATGTTGTTTAGCCGCTGCTAGGCTAGTGACAAGCAACAGCAAAAAACATCACCACGTTTGTCGTGAGTGGGTCCCTGACTGTAGTATTGGCTAACCTTTGATTTTATATGCAGGTAGTTCTGAGGACAATATGGGATGTAAAGATTTGTGTGTCGTGTTTGTTATGCTTAACAACTGTGAGATATTTAATGTAACAAACAGCTTGAGATATGCAATTTTATAAATAATCAGAATTCTGTATCCAACTGTTTTCAGACAATGTACAATTATTCAGATGTGTGACCACATAGCACTTTTTTAATCATATACAAACTCATTATGAAGGACCGGGCACACAGGGACTCACGCACTGTGCTGGAGTTCATACTTATTGATTTTAATTATCTACATTAAACATCATATAGTTTATTGTTTAGTGACACACGTCTTGATATCTTAAAGTCAACGAGTAGGGACATTCATCATCATCAGCATCATCATCATCATCATCATCATCCTCCTCCTCTGTAACATGTGATATTTGGGATTACTCTTTCTCAGGGTGACAAAATCACCACCATCATCACCACCATCATCACCATTGCCATCATCATCATCATCACCATTGCCATCATTATCATCATCATCACCACCATCATCACCATTGCCATCATTATCATCATCATCATCACCATCATCACCATTGCCATCATTATCATCATCATCACCACCATCATCACCATTGCCATCATTATCATCATCATCACCATCATCATTATCATTGCCATCATCATCATTGCCATCATCATCATCATCATCATCACCATTGCCATCATTATCATCATCATCACCACCATCATCACCATTGCCATCATCATCATCATCATCACCACCATCACCATTGCCATCATTATCATCATCATCATCATCATCGCCACCATCATCATCCCATTGCATCGTTATCATCATCATCATTGCCATCATTATCATCATCATCACCATTGCCATCATTATCATCATTCATCATCACCACCATCATCACCATTGCCATCATCATCATCATCATCCATCATCATCATCCATCATTGCCATCATCATCACCATCATCATCACCATCATCATCATCCATCATCACCACCATCATCACCATCAATCATCATTACATCATCATCATCACCATCATCACCACCATCATCACCATTGCCATCATTATCACCATCATCACCATCCATCTTATCATCATGTGATATTTGGGATTACTCTTTCTCAGGGTGACAAAACCTTCATCCATCATCATCACCACCATCATCACCATTGCCATCATTATCATCATCATCATCACCACCATCATCACCATTGCCATCATTATCATCTTCATCACATGCTCATCCTCACCTCAGCAGCAGCAGCAGTTTTATTTCCTCCTCTTGGAGACTGTATGTACATTAAAGTCTAGCAGATAAAGAAATCTTAGTGACCTCAGGTTTTAGGAACACTCTCTCAAAAGTAAGTCTTCCCTATTTGGGTGATATTATTTGTGAACCAAGTTCTATGATTGTATAATTATGGATAAAGAAAACGCTAAGACAATTCCATTCACAGCGCGTTATGAATTTCGTGCAAACAGGTCAATTTCGTGCAGGGGTTTCACACCCTGTGCACGTGGAATATGGTCGGGCCAAATTCGGAATTTTACAATGAAACGTGTCAATGTGTATATGTACATTCGAATAATAAAATCAGAGTGAGTGAGTTTAGCTTTTGCGCCGCTTTTAGCAATATCCAGCAATACCACGGGGATTTGGCTTCACACATTGTACCCATGTGGGGTATCGAACTCGGGTCTTCGGCGTGACGAGCGAACGCTTTAACCACTTAGCTGCCCCACCGCCCCGATAAAATTTAACTGAAAGTTGATCTGATATTGTTTTAAACTCAATTAAACCTGTTTTCACATGCGACTACGTGCAAATGTTATGTTGGAAGTTGGAACATGAACAGCGTCGATCTGGTCGACCATTGGCGACAACTAGTGGGCAAACACTGTTTCAACAGAACCTAACTAAACCGTGCTCAAAACCGTCCTCTTAAACGGTGTGCGAAATAGCCACTGGCCCGCTAGCCCGTGGCTACTAAAACCCCAGTCGGGCCAGTAAATCTCCAGAGTCACTGGCCCGACTGGCTGAATGAATTTCGATGGGGTAATTTTGTAAATATATCACTCTCTCGACTGGCCTGATAATATGTTCATCATAATAGCATTCTTAATGTCATGCCGACAATATCTTATTCTCATCCATTTTTGTAATCTTCTGCTTAGTTTCTACTTTCAAATTTCGGACTAGAGATATATTTTGTGGGCTAGTAACTTTCAGGCATAGGTTGCCCGACTGGCTAGCAAATAATCTGGAAACTATTTCGCACACTGTTCTTAAATTGGAGATGAGAGAGGCACGCGATATTAATACGTCAAGTTGAACTTTTCATATTTAATGACGTGATGTACAGTAGGGCGCTAACATCATCTAACAAAATCTATAGTCATCTGACGTTCAACGACTAACGCAAATCTCAGTTAGATGGCCCGTTACACGGTTACACTTTTTTTCCTCAAATAAAATATCAATAGTTTTGACAACGTTTGTGTTGAATATCCCCTACCTTTAAATAGAGTATAATATAGTAAGAAAATAACCCCAGATAGACAGTGGACACTCTCGTAACCAGATTATATCATAACAGGACCAATTTGTTTTACTTTAGTACGGCTCTTCTTTGATTGGCAGTTAGAAGTTGGGTAGATGAAGAATGAGGACTATTTTTATGGATATACAACTTCTTTATTCTGTATAGGCGACGTTTCGACATAGATTCTACTGTCGTTGTCAAGCAAGTGATACATGAGAAGTAATTTTGAGTGATATATACATGAGATGTTTGGACAGTAGATGAGGGATGCGGCGAAAATGAGTTGTTTATACAATAGAAGAGGTTGATAACACAGGATTAAGTAGGTTGGTAGGAAGCCAGTAAAGAAGATGTACCTGGTTGTCTACATAAGAGATTAAGGATGTTGATGGGCAGCCAGTAGGGAATGATGTACATAGGTTGTTTACATAAGTGATAAAGGGGCTGTTGGGAAGCCAATAGTGAAGTGATGTTGCACAAAGGATAATGTAGAGTAGGTTACATGAAATTAATTCAGCAAGTGTACGGTTCGTTGGTATTACGTGCTCATGGTTAATTCCTTTGCAAATAGTAGTTGAATAGTATACGATCCTAAATGGGGGCTCTTGAGAACATTGACTGATTTTCCGCCTGGTTGACTGATTTTTTACATTTATTAATTTCCATTGCGATTACCATGTTTGGGGTAAAATCTAATGAGTCATTGGATAGCATTTTCAAATAACAATAATTATAATTTTCTATGGATATAATGCATGACGAATTCCCATAGTGAACTTCGATAATCTTGCTGCTATGGATTGTTGTTAATATCGACTGGCGCAGTTAATGCATATTATTCATAATACATCATTCAAGGCCCCATGCTACTTTTAAAAGGAATCCTGTGTCGTCCATTTTGAATTTATAATGAGACACATGGTTTTGAGTCTATTTTTAGACCATCAGTCTTTGTCTCAGGTCTATAGTGAGATCTATGGTGTGAACACCTGGTGTGTCTATTTTTAGACCATCAGTCTTTGTCTCAGGTCTATAGTGAGATGGTGTGAACATCTGGTGTGTCTATTTTTAGATGATGAGTCTTTGTCTCAGGTCTATAGTTAGATCTATGGTGTGAACATCTGGTGTGTCTATTTTTAGAATAATAAAAGGTCCCCCTGAACAGCCCTCCATACACAGTTTCAGTCACTACACCTAGTGATTACACATTGTGGATATACCAGTGTATTTCTCATTGGATTATACTGTGTGCACTGGATTACTAATCAACCTTGGATTATACTGTCTACTGGGTTTATATTTTCATCAGCCTCTCAACTACACATCTCTGGAGTAATTAAACATTGTGTATATTTCTCACTGGATTACAAAACATCTTTGGATTATACAATGGAGTCACTACACATTATACTACCAGTGTATTTCTCTTTAATCTCAAAGCGAGCGCCCATTATCGCAGTATCAATTCCCGTCTGACTAACTATAACTATTAAAAATGTGAAATTCAAATGCATACAACGTCCTACCTTCAGTCCTTACATTGTAACACAGAATACATCGTAACACAGATTAAGATTTACATCATCATCAGATTGAACGAGTGTTGGGGATAAAGACTAGTGTACATGAAGTCAACTCACCTCTGTTCATCATATCCATTGTTGAGGCAAACAGTGGTGGTAAATCTAGATGTTTAGAGGGGTTGGAACAAGTAACCCATTCATGTGAAGAAACAGATTGATTCATACTGTACTCCAACAATGAATGACTCATTTGCCCACCCGTAAGTCCGACCTACAGCCATTCAAAGCTATGTTTACGGGAAGGGAATCCCCTCTCCCACCCAAGCATGAAGATTAAGAAAACAAGCGTATAATGGAGTGAAAAATAAAATAACTTCAAATACATGTTACCGAGTGTCCATGTTAATACTTTCTTTTAATTTGCCACAGCCTCCGAGTGAGGTGTGCCATGTTCATTCTGCCATAACATTGCCTCTCCCTACGTTCAATGAACCGAGAAGCATGACGGCCTTCACGCCCATTGAAGAAACCAGGTCATAGATCGCGTCCCCCCGCCGCCATTTTGAAAAAAATGATAAATATATAGATTTAAACACATAACAAATTCCTAGCCATGCCCGCCGATCAAAAACTGAGTATAATGTTGAAACTCATCGCGAAATCACTCACAGCATGCTTCTCACCAAAATATCCCATGTAGAACGAGTCACCATGAACTTACTTTAAAATCCCACATAATCATATGAATAAATACAGCCCACACAGAATACAACCTATAGAAAGTTGATTACACATGACTCACATATGCCATGAGCCTACTTTAAAACTCACACACAATCACATGAATAAACACAGCCCGATACACACACAGGATACGATCGATAGAAAGTTGACATGACTCCCGTTTGCCACGAATCATTAAATCCCAACACAATAAACACAGTCCAATCATAATCAGAACCTTTCCCTAGATTCATCGTTTTTTTCTAAACTAAAGCTTGTATAAAACCAATTTTAGTGCGTAGATGTACTCGCATTGTTAACATGTGTACTCACGATACTGTCGTCAACAACATTATTCACACAATACGTTCATACGCAAAAATACTCACAAATTAGAATAGAGAATGATCCATCACATAAATTCCACACCTACTGTGCTGTTTTAAACGGTCATGAAACCGCCAGAATACCTAAACACGCACAGCACAACATACCGGCTGCACACGGCGGTGAACAAAGAGCATTCAAGCTTGGCGCCAACAGCCCCTGCCTAAAACCGGTTCTGTCAAACTGGATCGCAAAAAGGGTCTATCAAACCGGTTCGCAAACGGTTCTGACTCAAAATGGCTACATGTCCAAACCGGCTACATGTCCAAAACGGCTTTGTAGACCAAAAATGGCTTTACAACACTAGTGTAATAGCTTATGTATTTATAAACCGTTAATATATAAATATATTCATTACAGATCATTAAAATTGTTGTTCAATACAATGAACTGTAACAGTTGTTATCTTCAATACCATGAACTGAAACAGTGGTTATTCAATCAACAGGAATGACGTTTAAACTGAAACTTGTATGTCTGATAATAGTATGAGGAGGTTAAGAATATGTGGATTCAGTGAAATAGGGTTGAAATTGGTATTATAAAAAACCAAGAATTGTACAACAGTCAATCCTACAGCAATACATTCAGTGAGTCTAGTACACTCTCAGCAGCTCTATGGAGGTGGTCTGTACATAATGTACATAATCGAGCCTGGACCAGACAATCCAGTGATCAACAGCATGAGCGTCATTCTACACCATGTGCCATGTGTCAACCAGCGAGCCTGACCACTCGATCCCGTCAGTCGCCTCTTATGACAAGCATGGGTTACTGAAGGGTAACCCAGGGGTACAATACATTAAGAAACAAGAGAGATATACAGATTTCATTGTTTATTAGCTCCGTTTCGAATGAGTAGACATTAGGATAGGAGCTCTCCCAAATGCCTACTTTACATCTGTTGTCTTATTACCCTTCATCATCATCCACCTGTCCTTCACTCTCTTCATCAGATGTTATGTCTTCATCTTCGGTCATGCCTTCGACCCAAGACTTATATTGGTACAATTTTGAAATCACTTCATGATACATATTATTTGTGTCTTTTACTTGTTTCAGTATTCCTTCTGTCTTTGGACCATACTGCATATGGTACAGATAAGTAATAAATCGGGCATACGTCTCTTTAAACGTGCTCCACATCAATTTGTTCAGTTTGGCTTGAATCATGTCTTCGTTTAAACCTCTTTTTATGTACAGCTGTCGTTTCTCATCCAAAAAGTCTTTATTCAGCTCACGTGTACGTGAATACATTTGTCTTATACCTTGCTCTTCGAGATCAGCCATCTTATTTTTCCTGTTGCCATGTGTGACATCGCTTAATGATTCAACATCATCGTCCTCATTTTCCATTTCAGGACATTGTTTATCGTGTAAATGTCTTTGTAAATTATGGTTAGTGCTAAACACTTGACCACAATAGTCACAATCCGACAGAGGACGTGGTCTCTTTACAGGTGAGAAGTTGTTGTCTTCCTCCCACTGCCTTTTCACTTGGGGTATCCCAGGAGGACCCACTGAAGACTTTTCGGGACACCAGTTTCTTCTGTGTTTTTGCAAATCTTGCACATCTTGAAACACGAGTCCACAGGCATCACAAGTTGGCATGGTTGAGAGGTTTTCTTCACACGTCTGCTCACGCTGAACATCTAACTCGGACTGAATTGCCCTGGCTTGGAGGTGTCCTTTTAAATTGAATGCATTGGGACAAAGTCGCCTATGGGGTGGTGTTTGGGGTTTTAGATCAACCAACAAGTAGCCATAAGGCTTCTGGGTAGCCCTTTGAAACGGCTCCATGAAATGGTCTGTGTTACCTGGATACATTTGCCTCGCCAAAGTCATGATGGGTTGTTGATCGATAGGGTTGTTGAACAGAAGCAGATAATGACAGTTTCTTCGTTGTGTGGGATCCTTACTGAAATACAAATTCTGGTTCAAGGCGATCACTGAGAGATTACGATGATGACTTCCTTCCGTAAACAGATCTGTAATGCGTGGATCTTTGCTGGCAGTAGACATTAAGTCATCGAGGATAACCACGTTCACCACATGGGGGTCTAGAAATGCATCCTTTTCGAGATCAGAAGGAATGCCTTGATGAAATTCCACATAGGGATAAACATGGGTTTGAATGGCATTATACAAGGGCTGCCATCGTTTGTAGAGCCATATAATACGTTCAGGATAAGGTTTAATGTTCATCCTTTCTAGAATCTGTTTCACTAAGTAGGTTTTCCCACAGGAGGTGGGCCCTGAGACAATCATGGTGAATGGATGTCGCAACCTACATTCTTCCAATGCCTGGGTAATACTTTCTGATGAATGTGGTTGCTGCTGCTGCTGCTGCTGCTGCTGTGGTTGTGGAGGAGAAGGAGGAGGAGGAGGAGGAGAAGTAGGAGGAGGAGGAGGAGGAGGAGGAGGAGGAGGAGGAGGAGGAGAGGGTTGTTGATGTTTCTGTCTTCTATGTCTCAACATATTGTCTGTCCTGGAAAAAGTCATATAGCACACGGGACACGTTGTTGACTGCATGGTGGTCCGAGTCTAAATGGCAGGGAACCATGTCTACTGACTGCTTTTATCTAAAAAGTCGTCTTCCGTTTCTTCATGGGAAACTGGGAGGAACTTCCAACTTTAGATTCCCCTTTCTTCTGCATCTGAATAAGAGCCTTGGCTTGTTCGACCACTTGTTGAGTAGGGGTAACGAAATTAATCTTAGGTTGTTCTGTGGTTTCTGGTTTTTGTTTGTCTTTCTTCCACTCTGGATCATACAGTTCCAAATATCGTTCAACAGACAACATGGCAGATTTTTCTCCTCCACGTGTTATAGAATGATAAGGGTCTCCTTTCCCTTCAGCCCTGAGCATGTAAAATCGTGTCCATTTTTCGGCATCCGGACCGAAGAGTTTGTATCGTGGATTATTCATGATGAAAACGGAGGCGGTCTGAGGTGATGCGTCACTGTCACTGGTCCACGGCTAAATGAAGTTAGATAGTCCTTGTGGCCTGTTATATAGATATCTTCATTGACCTTGGTATAGCTTTCAACATCGCTGCCAGGATGGTTCGGATGCACTACTATGACAAACTAAACCGGGTGTACCAAACATACTAAGCCAATGCTCTATCATACAACCAGGCATTTTGAATGGCATCATCTCTAAGTGCATTGACAAACTGTGGTTTCAAAACAAATACTACGATTGGCATGTTGCTGGCAAAAAGACTCTTCCACCTACTGTCTGTCGTCCACAGGGGGTGAACTAATCTTCGTAACACCGCTAGATAGTTATTTCTATCATTTTTCCTCAGGAAACGACGCCTTTCATATCGAGTCACTGGTAATCTTCCCTTTAATAACCTATTGATAATACCATTGATGGCAAGAATCTGTTCTCTGTTCATTTCTAAGATGTCTTGTCGAATCTCCTCAATGTCTTGAAACATTAACATGAACCTTAAAAATTCGTAATGCTTCAACACGTACCTAGCCATACTATTTCAAGCAAACAAACTCTTATCGCGGTTGGGATCTCAGTGAGATTAGTATTGAGTCAACCTCTATTTATACTATACATAGACAACCAAGGCAGACATACTCTTAACATTGATTTATTTCCAATAGTCACACATTTTACATCACACTCTTGGTTGCAAATCCACATGACTACCCCAACGGGTCACCTCTTTCTGAGGTACTCCCACCAGGGCCAAATACGGACAATGTGGAGACCATTTTTCATGTTCGGCCCAGGGATCATCATCTACTTCCCAGTTCTTGAGAACGAGACCACATTGAAAACACTTGCAAGCGTCCCCTCTGATTAAGTACACAAATCCTGCCTGAGCCATTTGACTAGGACTCTGTTTCATCTGCACTGGCCAGTCTTTAAACGAATCGAGTCTTTTCTGGAATGAAGTCCATTCAGTCTTGATTGCACAGCAATCTGCAACGACAGTCTTGTCGAATGGGTAATGTCCACACACATCCATGATACCCCAGACCAATGGTAACACGTCCACACAGTACAGCGTCTAAACCAAGAATGGCTTTACACCCAGTAACTGTAGTCACTAGGGTTGCAAAAGGAACACTGGAGGTACCCCATCTGGTTTTGATGATCGTCCTGAAGCATACAGGGTACCCTGTCCTTCAGTTCTGGCACAAAGTCTGACATGACTCTTACACAATCTACCAGCTTTTCCCACTGATCTAGGGACAACAGAATACATTGGTTGGTAGGTATCACTCTACCACTTTTCTGATCATTCTCCCACTGTCGCACATCAATACCATTGTCGTCCCAGGAAGCGTACATGTTCCCTCCAACATGGACGTGTGAGTACCTTCCCTGCTGTTTCAGCTGCATGTGAACACTAGACACTTCCAGCCAGTGTTTCAAGGTAAGCACGATGCCTCGTTTGGTTGGGTAGGTCTTGCCACTCGGGTACACTTCGTACTTCCTCACATGAATTTCTAGTTTTCCATTCCATGTCTTGGCTGTCACATAGACGTCGTCCCCCAGATGTAAATGGCATCTGGGATTTGGAAGTGTTACCAGGACCTCGTTATCACAACTCTCACGGTGAATGGTTTCCATCTTCGAGGTAAACAGCTACCAGTAGAGTCAAGAACATAAGATCCGTACGATGTCTCTGGCGACTGAAGTCAGAATGATATGGAGGGCTGTTCGGGGGGGGCTTTATATTACCCACCCGAGTCTAAATAAAGACACACCAGGTGTGCACACAATAGATCTCACTATAGACCTGAGACAAAGACTGATGGTCTAAAAATAGACACACCAGGTGTTCACACCATAGATCTCACTATAGACCTGAGACAAAGACTGATGGTCTAAAAATAGACTCAAAACCATGGACCTCATTATAAATTCAAAATGGACGATTTAGGATTCAAGAAGCCTGGTTACAACAAATGTGGTTATTAGGAAACATAACGTTTAAGAAATGTGTTCGTTTTGCAACACTGTGTGGGGTTAAGCCATACATTTCTTTTGACTCAGAAGTCTTGACCCAACACAATCAATGTCCGTATTTTGTCTTTTGCCTTCTGATCCCGTCTTTATTAATTGTTCAGGTATACAATTGACTTGCCTTTGAATGTGTTTGTGACGATCGCCACCGATGAGGTAGGATAGTATTACTGTCACCTTTTCACGAGCATCTGGAATCAACGGTGTTTGTTGGTAATTCTTTTCAACATGCCAACGTTATAACTTGATACAATCGATTGTGCTTTTAGTAGATATATCTGATAAAAATGGAAAATACTCTCAACAGTTATTTCAAATCCACGTTTCACTAGTATATTATCTTCTCCCCATTATTGAGTTGTAAACTTATGTGTATATGGAAGGTATTTCATGTGTCCAAACGTCCAAAGGTAACTTGGAAACTTAAACAAAATTGTTTAAAGACACCTGAACTTAACCAAGTCAAATCCAATCCTCAAACCACGCAGAGTCCGTGTAATGACTGCGGTTTTGCACGGGAGATATGAATAAGTGATATTTTTGCAAGAACATTGTTTGAGTGTTTAGAAATCGCACATGCACAACGGTATAAAAACTTTCACTTCAAATGTTAGATATGGAGTGTTAAGAAAAACCTCAAAAGAAATGCCCAGATTAACAAAAGAACAACGTTAGAGGGTCAAAGGAATGTTGCCAGTGGGGGTAGCACAGCCCTGCATGTGTAGCAAGAACATTGAATTGCTTCCGTAATACTGTAGGCAACTTGGTCCAGATATTCAGAATAACAGGTCTGACAACAGACAGGCCAAAACAGGCAGACCAAGGATGAACACGCCCCCTGACCATCTGCGTAATAGATTCTTGCCTGTGACGTCATCGACCTTGAATACGTTCAGCCGTGTGGTCAGCAGACAGACAGTAGCAAGATGACTAAAGGCAGTCAGAGCCCACAGATGCCCGCCGTTGACCAGTGAACGTCGAAGACTGAAATGGGTGAGAACGTTGGCAACGTCATAATTGGCAGCGAGTCCTCTCCACCGACGAGAGAAGGTTGTGTGTGTTCCATTCTGATGGCAGATAGCTGTTTGTCGTCAAAGAGGAGAACGTACTGTCTGTTGTTGCGTCCAAGAGCTCGTACCCTTTGGTGTGGGGAGGCATGTGCGAATGACGAGAGAACGCCATTGGTCATGAGTGAAGGTAACGTGAATGCCGTACGCTACAGAGATGAGGTCCTATACCCTCGTGGTTCATGGGTTACCCTGGCCAGCTCGCCAGACCTTTATTCCACAGAGTACCAATGGGATATCATGGACAGACAAATTCGACGGCGACAACAACCTTGCGTGACTCATTTCACGTGACGTCATCAGGAGACTGACGAGTTCAGTGCGTAGGAGTTTGCCTGCATTCAAGCCAATGAGGTCACACACGCTACTAGGGTGACACATATCACCACCTATTGTCATGTTGTGCCGAGCTGAACCACGATTTCCTCTTCACCGGCGACAGCGTGCTTACCGTCGGAGATGTATGTTTTGCCCCTAGTTCCATTGGACAAGTCGACAGATTCGGTGGAAGAAGTGTCGGGTGCGATATCCAGCACACAAAGATCTGATTTAGTGGTGGTTCAGCGGAATTTGACAGCAAATCGGCACATCAACGACGTCCTTGCACGCCACGTGCTTCCGATTATGGACCGACAAAGGGAGTTGTTCCAGCATGACAACGCTACTTCACATACAGCACGCGTCACGGTTCGTCGGTTCGCTAACTTGCCAATTCGAACGTCATTGTCTTGCCATGGCCTCATGGCAATAAATTATTCTAAAAATTGCCTATGCGTTTCTTTTTGTGAAGAGTGCAATAGCCGCTACCGAGCGAGTGAAATAGAGTCATACATAAAATGTCAGTTTTGAACACCGCCAGCACGTAACTCAAGTGTTTTGAACAGAGGTTAACTCGGATGAAGCGAGCCATGGACTCGTCGCAACACAGCGAGGGACAGTCACACACATTGGTACTTGTTCAGTGCGGGTGCAAAGAATGACTCGTATATCGCCGATATCGGCGATCGGCTGATGGGAGCGAGTTTTCTTCACAGGAAATTGGACATCCGATGCCCAGGCTTGAAGACAAAGTGCATTTAGTAAAATGCATATGTTTACATTGAAAGAAATTACAATTGAATAATTTATTTACATATATATATATATATATATATATGTGTGTGTGTGTGTGTGTGTGTGTGTGTGTGTGTGTGTGTGTGTGATATGTTGGAATAAACGTCACCTCACAAACACCCCTGCAACAATTGAAAAGAAGAAAGAGAAAAACGCAATGCACTGATCAACCTTCTTTTCCCAATTCATTCATTCTATCTGTTGTAAAAATACACTCATGTGATACGTTGAAATTGGTTCCTTGATGAAGAATCAACATTTTATCTGACATCTGTGCCATTATTTATATTAAATGTACCTGTCGCGTTCATTTTACACAGTGAACTGCCATAATAATTTAACATATATAAGAGGGGCATTAATAAGATATAATATGTGTTCAGTGTGGTAATCAGATGTTCTGTGTGGTAATCAGATTTTCTGTGTGGTAATCAGATGTTCTGTGTGGTAATCAGATGTTCAGAGTGGTAATGTGGTAATCAGATGTCCTGTGTGGTAATCAGATGTTCTATGTGGTAATCAGATGTTCTGTGTGGTAATCAGATGTTTTGTGTGGTAATCAGATGTTATGTGTGATAATCAGATGTTCAGAGTGGTAATGTGGTAATCAGATGTCCTGTGTGGTAATCAGATGTTCAATGTGGTAATCAGATGTTTTCAGATGTTCAGTGTGGTAATCAGATGTTCTGTGTGGTAATCAGATGTTCTATGTGGTAATCAGATGTTCTGTGTGGTAATCAGATGTTTTCAGATGTTCTGTGCGGTAATCAGATGTTCTGTGTGGTAATCAGATGTTATATGTGGTAATCAGATGTTCTAAGTGGTAATCAGATGTTCTGTTTGGTAATCAGATGTTCAGTGTGGTAATCAGATGTTCAGTGTGGTAATGTGGTAATCAGATGTTCTGTGTGGTAATCAGATGTTCTATGTGGTAATCAGATGTTCTGTGTGGTAATCAGATATTCTGTGTGGTAATCAGATGTTCTGTGTGGTAATCAGATGTTCAGTGTGGTAATCAGATGTTCTGTGTGGTAATCAGATGTTCTGTTTGGTAATCAGATGTTTTCAGATGTTCTGTGTGGGAATCAGATGTTCTGTGTGGTAATCAGATGTTCTGATGTTCTGTGGGGTAATCAGATGTTCTGTGTGGTAATCAGATGTTCTGTGTGGTAATCAGATGTTGAGTGTGGTAATCAGATGTCCTGTGTGGTAATGTGGTAATCAGATGTCCTGTGGTAATCAGATGTTCTATGTGGTAATCAGATGTTCTGTGTGGTAATCAGATGTTCTGTTTGGTAATCAGATATTCTGTGTGGTAATCAGATGTCCTGTGTGGTAATCAGATGTTCAGTGTGGTAATCAGATGTCCTGTGTTGTAATCAGATGTTCTGTGTGGTAATCAGATGTTTTGTGTGGTAATCAGATGTTCAGTGTGGTAATGTGGTAATCAGATGTTCTGTGTGGTAATCAGATGTTCTATGTGGTAATCAGATGTTCTGTGTGGTAATCAGATATTCTGTGTGGTAATCAGATGTTCAGTGTGGTAATCAGATGTTCTGTGTGGTAATCAGATGTCTGTGTGGTAATCAGATGTTCTGTGTGGTTATCAGATGATCTGTTTGGTAATCATATGTTCTGTGTGGTAATCAGATGTTCTGTGTGGTAATCAGATGTTCTGTGTGGTAATCAGATGTTCTGTGTTGTAGTCAGATGTTCTGTATGGTAATCAGATGTTCAGTGTGGTAATCAGATGTTCTGTGTGGTAATCAGATGTTCTGTTCGGTAATCAGATGTTCTGATGTTCTGTGTGGTAATCAGATGTTCTATGTGGTAATCAGATGTTCTATGTGGTAATCAGATGTTCTGTGTGGTAATCTGATGTTCTGTGTGGTAATCAGATGTCCTGTGTTGTAATCAGATGTTCTGTGGTAATCAGATGTTTTCAGATGTTCTGTGTGGTAATCAGATGTTTTGTGTGGTAATCAGATGTTCAGTGTGGTAATGTGGTAATCAGATGTTCTGTGTGGTAATCAGATGTTCTATGTGGTAATCAGATGTTCTGTGTGGTAATCAGATATTCTGTGTGGTAATCAGATGTTCTGTGTGGTAATCAGATGTTCTGTGTGGTAATCAGATGTTCTGTGTGGTAATCAGATGTTTTCAGATGTTCTGTGTGGGAATCAGATGTTCTGTGTGGTAATCAGATGTTCTGTGTGGTTATCAGATGTTCTGATGTTCTGTTGGGTAATCAGATGTTCTGTGTGGTAATCAGATGTTCTGTGTGGTAATCAGATGTTCAGTGTGGTAATCAGATGTCCTGTGTGGTAATGTGGTAATCAGATGTCCTGTGTTGTAATCAGATGTTCTATGTGGTAATCAGATGTTCTGTGTGGTAATCAGATGTTCTGTGTGGTAATCAGATATTCTGTGTGGTAATCAAAAGTCCTGTGTGGTAATCAGATGTTCTGTGTGGTAATCAGATGTTCTGTGTGGTAATCAGATGTTTTCAGATGTTCTGTGTTGTAATCAGATGTTCAGTTTGGTAATGTGGTAATCAGATGTTCTGTGTGGTAATCAGATGTTCTATGTGGTAATCAGATGTTCTGTGTGGTAATCAGATATTCTGTGTGGTAATCAGATGTTCTGTGTGGTAATCAGATGTTCAGTGTGGTAATCAGATGTTCTGTGTGGTAATCAGATGTTCTGTGTGGTAATCAGATGTTTTCAGATGTTCTGTGTGGGAATCAGATGTTCTGTGTGGTAATCAGATGTTCTGATGTTCTGTGGGGTAATCAGATGTTCTGTGTGGTAATCAGATGTTCTGTGTGGTAATCAGATGTTGAGTGTGGTAATCAGATGTCCTGTGTGGTAATGTGGTAATCAGATGTCCTGTGTGGTAATCAGATGTTCTATGTGGTAATCAGATGTTCTGTGTGGTAATCAGATGTTCTGTGTGGTAATCAGATATTCTGTGTGGTAATCAGATGTCCTGTGTGGTAATCAGATGTTCAGTGTGGTAATCAGATGTCCTGTGTTGTAATCAGATGTTCTGTGTGGTAATCAGATGTTTTGTGTGGTAATCAGATGTTCAGTGTGGTAATGTGGTAATCAGATGTTCTGTGTGGTAATCAGATGTTCTATGTGGTAATCAGATGTTCTGTGTGGTAATCAGATATTCTGTGTGGTAATCAGATGTTCAGTGTGGTAATCAGATGTTCTGTGTGGTAATCAGATGTCTGTGTGGTAATCAGATGTTCTGTGTGGTTGTCAGATGATCTGTTTGGTAATCATATGTTCTGTGTGGTAATCAGATGTTCTGTGTGGTAATCAGATGTTCTGTGTGGTAATCAGATGTTCTGTGTTGTAGTCAGATGTTCTGTATGGTAATCAGATGTTCAGTGTGGTAATCAGATGTTCTGTGTGGTAATCAGATGTTCTGTTCGGTAATCAGATGTTCTGATGTTCTGTGTGGTAATCAGATGTTCTATGTGGTAATCAGATGTTCTATGTGGTAATCAGATGTTCTGTGTGGTAATCTGATGTTCTGTGTGGTAATCAGATGTCCTGTGTTGTAATCAGATGTTCTGTGGTAATCAGATGTTTCAGATGTTCTGTGTGGTAATCAGATGTTTTGTGTGGTAATCAGATGTTCAGTGTGGTAATGTGGTAATCAGATGTTCTGTGTGGTAATCAGATGTTCTATGTGGTAATCAGATGTTCTGTGTGGTAATCAGATATTCTGTGTGGCAATCAGATGTTCTGTGTGGTAATCAGATGTTCTGTGTGGTAATCAGATGTTCTGTGTGGTAATCAGATGTTTTCAGATGTTCTGTGTGGGAATCAGATGTTCTGTGTGGTAATCAGATGTTCTGTGTGGTTATCAGATGTTCTGATGTTCTGTTGGGTAATCAGATGTTCTGTGTGGTAATCAGATGTTCTGTGTGGTAATCAGATGTTCAGTGTGGTAATCAGATGTCCTGTGTGGTAATGTGGTAATCAGATGTCCTGTGTTGTAATCAGATGTTTTATGTGGTAATCAGATGTTCTGT